ACACACACACACACACACACACACACACACACACACACACACACACAGAGACCAGAGACACACAGACACACACACCCTTTCACAGGATGAAAGGGCAGTCACACTGCCTGCAAACATGATTTTACAGCCCTGGGTGGAATGAGTGGTGGAGGAGAGAATGAGGACAGAGTACAAAAGGGGAAAGCCCTTAGATTTACAGGTCCCGGCAGTCAGAATGCAAACCATGTAGCAGTACACATTTGAAAAGCTGATTTTACCCAAACACTGACAAATAAGACATCCGTCTTTATGTAGGAAGACACATATGTTACAACATGTGTTACAACATGTGTGCAGGGACGCACGGACACGCAAGTACATCCTGAAAGGGGATCATTGCTGTTTCAATGGCTAATACAACAAAAAAATAATACATAAGTCTACATAAGACTGCGATTTCCAAATGTGATGTGTTTCAGTATCTCATAATCTCATGAATGCATTCATGTGTATGTGTTCGTGTGTATGAGGGCTTGTAGCATTGCAGGGTTAGAATATGTTTGTTCAACGTGTGGTGTTTTACATATTTCCCTGTTTATACAGTTTTATTGTATCTCATATGTATGTGTGTATGTTTCTGTGTGATAGGACAAATAAGGCACGTTTATGCACACTGTCAAAATAATGAGAACTGACTGACGCTGTGTGAAATAAGGGTGTGTCACTGATCAGAGATTTTGTTCATTTTGCTAAAGAATTATTTACATCATTAGTTATCATAATTGATGGCTATTCATTTTCTGGCGATCGACAAACTGTTATTATTGGAACTGGAACGATTACTCGAACATATCATGCACTGCACTATACTGGAGAAAAAAAGAGAAAGAGACCAGTGGACCTCAGACAGTCTCTGCCCAAGCCAGAGGCAAAACAGGCAAGAAGAGGATGGGAATGTAATTAGGTTAAATGTATTCCATTGATGGCAAATGGGGGAGCGACTCTGTATACACATGACAACTTAATGGGGAGTGGGGTGCATTTTTCCAGTTTATACTTGGTAAAACGGCAATTAATTAAATCAATATGGGTGTAAAAATGCAAGTTAACAGTTTATGAGTCCAAAAAGGCCGCATTGGCAATACTGCCAACGGAGCGCCTCCATGCTTTGCGCATCACATATTCAGAGCCAAACCAGAGTCCTCGTCACTACAAGTGTTGATGGAAGACATTAAATGAATAGTATTGAAAGAAGCAGTGCACTCTGTTGTTTCAGTGGTAATCCGAGGGCGTTCTTTGCTCATGTCTCCTGCAGCTAGACAATATTGTGAGTGTAATCACAAAATACTACAAGATAAAATACGCCCTTTTGCTATGTATGCTGCGGAAGCCGATGTAATGTCTGTATATAAACCATTCTGGTGGGAGCTAACTGGTACAATGAGTACTTGTATCTGTGCTTTAGTGATTGTTCCTATGGTGCATACTGCCTCTAGTGAGGAATACTGTAAACTGGCAGAGAGTCTGGTAAAAAGGTGCAGTCTGACCTCTGCTGGTAAGAGTTGATATTGCAGCAACCTTTACACAGAATGCTTAGTTGACTCAGTCAAATACAGCATTTCTCAGTCAAGTTTCCAAGATATACAAGGGAAATGGTGTAGGAAAAGTTATGGTTATCCCTCGAACACATAAAACTGTCAGTTAAATATCATTCATTTACAGTTAATTTACTCATGAGTGTTCTTGTCTGAGGACAACATTGTTTGACTTAATGCTTTTTGTCTCGTACGGTATCGTCTTGGATGGAATAAGCCTCTGGATGTCTATAAAATCCCAATGCACTACCCAAGAGGTCTGTGTGTGTTCACCTGTGTGTTAGAATGCCCTTGCTGTTACATGATGAAACCAAATTAGGTATTTAGCATATCCTTCAAGGGCAGAGGGGCTAGAAAAGCCAAAAGGAGGACGATGGGAATTCAGAGAGGTCAACTACAGAAAACAACATCAAGAACAGCAACACTGTCAACCAGTCTTCCAAATCAGCCAAAAGCAAATAACATTTTTTTGCAACTGCGTTTACTTGGATCTCAAATCAACCAAACACTGACACTGAACTCAAGAAAATAAAATCCTTCAAATCAAATGAAACAAAAGTATCTTTGCAAAGCATCACAGCGGCGGTGAGGCATCATTTCACATTATTATTCAAGTCTGTCCATCACTTCCCCTTATGATGACACATAGCCTAGTTTCACACCTGAATCACCCACATCTCCGATTTGTTCGGCAATTCAATACCAAGTTGTGGTAGTACGAATTCTAAATGAACTCTAGTACTGGTATTAAACTCATAGTTATGGTATGATGTAATCTTTCACTGACCTGCTCTCTGAACTGCTCCTGAGACAGGCAGTCGGTCACGTTGACGCAGCCCAACAGGCAGCCGGTGGGGTAGTCTTTAGGAAACCTGGGCTCTGCACGAAAAACAAGAGCAAAGATCCACTTACACGGCGAAGGCAGACTTTGTCGCAGTGGTTTCCAACATGACTTCAATCAAAGTGCTGCATGCAAGGCTTCTAGAAGCATATCACCTCCAGTATGCACAGTCTTATTATCCTAAATTGCTGTGTGCAGGTTGCGTACCTTTCTTGTACACTTGGCGGTACATGGCCTCCACCTCAGCAATCTCCTGAGGAGTGGGCGTCTTGGCTGCAGCAGCAATCCAAAGACGACCCCGATGGGATGTGTACCAAGTTCGCCCCTCAACCCTACACACACACACACACACACACACACACACACACACACACACACACACACACACACACACACACACACACACACCACAATGTTACCTCTGCTTACATTGGCCTGACTCCTGAGATTTTTAGGTTAATACTGCAATTTGGTTTATCTTCAAAGCTCACTTGGGATGTTGTTAGCTCCTTACCTCTTGATGCCTTTGATCAGCAGCGTGGCCCACGGTTGGTGCATGCTGAGGCACCAGCCCCCGTCAGACATCTCCTGCAAGTCTTTGTCTTGGAGACGCAACTTGTGCCGTTCCTCTCCTCCCTTGTCCTCTGCCGAGCTCTTTCCCTGCTTCGTGTTTCTCTTGCTGCCTCCAACATCCACCCACTGGGGAGTGCATTCATTCAACCCATTTTAGCTTTATGATGATACAAATGTAGAAATACAGAAGTGTAGAAGTACCGCAGTGTGACACCATTGTTACTCCCAGTTTAAATGACCTACCTCTGGTGCGGACTGCATTATGTTGGGGTTGACCAGCTCTCCGAGGGTCTGTCTTCCGCCTTGTCTTTTAGAATACACTGGCGATTTGGATGTAGAGTCGCTGTTCATAGCCATGAGGGTCTCATCCAACCTAAATAGCGAGCATTTCAAATGGCGTTAAGCATGACTAGACAACACTGCCCTTGCAGCGCTGATTCAAGTAGAGTCAGAGTATCTTACTTGTTGTAGTACTCGTTGAGGTTGTTTCCCTCGTCAAGCACTTGTCTGCCAGCGAAGTCCAATGTGATCTTCCTGTCCTTGCGAGAGGCATAGCGAAGTTCTCTCAGCTCCTCTTCCTGTTTCCTCAGCTTTTCCCGCTCATTGGGTGACAACCACTGATTGGATTCAGTGGCAAAGTAATCCGACTCATCATCCAGAACCTGCGTTCTCCTGACACTGGAGTTCAAGGGGACGGTGAAGAAATAGGCAAGTGTTACCACAAAGTGTCCCGCTTACCTTCTGCAGTATAGAAATAGCACACACAGCAGTAAACCTATCCATACTTGTGAAGCTCTTAGCGTGCCTGTGTGTTTTATGATACCTATTCTTGTCATATTCCAGCAGTTTTTCTTTGTGCTGCACAGCCTTCTCCAAGCCAGCCTTCATCTTGGCCTCTTGGCGTGGGAGATAATCTCTTTCTGCAGGGTCTGTCACCAAAAAAACAAACATATTCACACCTTCGATCCACGTCATTATAGATTTGAGTGTTTTATAATTCGGACTAGTTTTGGCTCTCACCTCCCATCAGCTTCTTTCGTAGTTTCTGGCTTTTGTTGGAGTCTCGTTGCAGGATCTCCTGCTCCTCTCCTGTGCAGACCTGAATCAGAAAAAAAAAAAAAAAAAAAATCAGTGAGGAAAGAATACTAGATTTAGAAAATAATGATTGTCAGCACAACAAGTAGATTGAAAAAAAAAGTAATCTAAGGACTAGAAACTCTTGCGTACCAGGCTTCCACAGAAGAGGCAAGGTCCTGAACCTTCTTGCTGACATACGATGCGACCACAGCTGATGCAGTTGTTTATAAGCTTGTGCTTTTGGGCAAGGCAGTCACAGGCATGTCGACCTGGGAGTAAGATAGTCAGCTTGTCTTGTCCCTCTTTAGCATAGAGATTAACAAACTTACTTTTCTTCTTTGTTGAAGAAGAACTGCTGTTTTCTTGGGCCTGACAAAGCAGAAAAAGGGAAGAGACGAAACACAAATAGAAGAAATAAATAGATAGAGGTAAGAAATAAAATGGATCATTTACAAATAAACCTAATTTGTTTTGTCTTTGTTGTACTCAAACCATGAGAATTACCTTCATGAAGTAAGTGACAGCAGAACAAAAGTTTAGTGTTTACTCACCCTCATCTGATCAATGGGGGTTTTGACTGCCTCTGGCTCCGGCTCTGTTGGGTTTACATTCAGCACCTCCAGTTTGTTACGACCCTTGCGTTTTGACTTCTTCTGGCTGTCTTTGGTCATGTCTTGTGACTCTAGGAAAGGAGCGCAAATATCTCTGTAATTACATTTCCACTCAGAAGACATTTAATCATTACAACTTTACAATGTTTAGTACCTTGCATTGTAGTTTTATGGCAGGTTGTTAAAGGCTGGGAGGTATCTTTATGTACAGTTTAAGTCAAAATGCATTCAATGGCAGACATCAGACAGCCTACCTGGTGATGAAAAAGTTTCCTTGAGAGAGAAAGGACTCGAGGTATCCGTGGCCTGTCTTTGAGTCTTCTTCCACCTGCTGAGGAATTCATCGATGAACTGTCCTTTCCTCCCATCTGTGCCCTGCAGGAGGTCTCCCACATACTCCTCGATCCCATCTGCATTTTCGATGGACAGAATGTATCTAGACAGCAGGATGGCAAAATGACCATTTAATTCAATAACACTTTTTGTCAAAGTGGATGTAGAAAACATAAAAGACCTAAATAATTTCTACACACCGCTTGTTGATATCTGTGTGGCTTCCAGCAATGTTTAATGGTCTGCTTATGTAATACTTATGGGTAGTTATAGATTTATGGATGAGGAGATTATTTATAATATTTTTTTTGTTTGTGTTTTTTAACCTTACTTAACAATTCCAGTGTCCTAACCTTATACGTCATTACAAACTTAGTCTGATCCTTCACGTGACATCAAACGGCAGAGATACAAAGTATCATGTTAGCTTGTTGGCTGTCAGCACTTCACCTGACGTCAGACATTTCATTTTTTTTGGGCTAACTAGCGTTAACGTGACTTACTGGACGATGTCTTCGCAGGCATCCAATCCGAACTTGTGGTGTAACTGGTCCACACACCACTGCAGCAGAGCCTCGGACATGTTTACCGACGAAAAAAGACTTGACACTCAAAAGCTCAAAACCAAACGTGAGCAGTTAGCGTGTCAAAGCAAAACGGAATGAATGTGTTTCTAGTCGGCGACATAACAAATGCACACACGATGGAAGTAACTGCGTGGCAGCAGAGAATCCAGTCCGGAAGAAAACGCGTGTTGTCACGTAAGGTTCCACCCACAACCGTTAGTACGAGAACCATTAATGAGACTGTTAAGAAATAACTACAGAACATCTTTGACGAAAGTCTGCGCTTCACATCAAACAAACAATCAAAAATGAACATTTCTATCTCCAGTTCAGTCAGTCTTGAAACTCTATACATTTGTTTTATCAGTAAAGCTGAATATTTGGGTGTACTTGTTAAATTCACTCACTAGGTGTCAGTTTTGTAATATAGTGAAATACAGGTGCATTCAGACAGGACTTTACAATAACGTTATTTGCTATATTTTGAGTACCAAATGACTTCCTCTGTAATCAGATGGTATTTTATAAACAGGAAGTTAAAATGTATTGTGAAAACCTTCTTATATATATTTAGTCTATGGTAAAAACATCTTTGCTCGACTTCCACCTTTCTTGAGTATTTACATTTTCAGACACTTTATACTTCTACTCCACTACATTTTGGAGGTAAATATTGTACTTTTTACTTGACTACATGTATTTAGCCGCTTTACTTACTTTGCAGCTTCAGAATATTATACACATTATGTTAATACAAAATATAAATCAACTAATATTCAATTCAATTCAATTCAATTTATTTTTGTATAGCCCAAAATCACAAATTACAAATTTGCCTCAGAGGGCTTTACAATATGTACACATTTGACATCCTCTTGTCCCGGGACCCTCACATCGGAACAGGAAAAACTCCCCCGAAAAACCCCTTTAACGGGGAGAAAATAGGAAGAAACCTTAGGGAGAGCAACAGAGGAGGGATCCCTCTCCCTTCAATATACTGTATTATGAAATATAACTATGGGTTAAGCTATCCAGCAGTCTGTAAAGTAATTCAAATTAGCTCCACATTTACCACCTGCAACATTAAAGTCATGCACACATTAATGTATCAATAATTATAATTCAATAATTCAATATTAATTATTCGGCAACGGGCCATTCTGCATAATGAGTATTTTTACTTGTGGTACTTTAAGTGTATTTTGTTGCAAATAATTTTGTACTTTGTGTGTATCTGTATACACACAAAGTACACACACACACACACACACACACACACACACAGTCAAGAAATAAAAAGCAGCAAATGTTCTTGTGTCAATTATACGATTCCCTCTACTTTAAAGACAGCAAACATTTATTTATACAATGGGGAAAGTGATATGCGTTCTAATTCATTTCAATATGGATTTCTTGTCTCAAGGCTATTTTCTGTAACTGGTTGGAAAAACTTTCTTGCTCAGTGCAAATTTTCATTCAATTAGATGTAGGCAATTTGATGACTCATCATCCTCCACATACTAATACAGGATCTGCATTGGAGTACTTTTGTATATTGTGTGAGTAGTTTCTGTCTTTATCTGGCTGGATGTCAAACAGCCTGTCAAATCAGTCCGTCTCTGTTGTCTGTTTCAATTTTACAGTACAATAGTCAAGGTTATAGTCCAAATAAGAAAATGTAGATGGAGCAGCAGTGTATTTATATTATATTATACATATATATATATATTTTTTAAGTTGATTTCTTTGGCTTTCTTCTAGCATCCTATATTTGACAGAGGACAGTGTGGAAAAGAGGGAGTGAGAGAGGAGTGTGACATGCAGCAAAGGTCTCATAGCTGTAATCAAACCCCAGACGTCGAGGTTGTATTGCCTGCTCTGTAACCACTGGGCCACCAAGGCACTCGAGCAACAAAACATCATACATTTGAATGATCTGACATGAAAAGCAGACTATTTTGACCTCAGTAATTCTTTAATTTTCATAAAATGTTACATTAAAACAAGCAAGAAGCAATAACTAAGACAAACATGGTTATGCGTTTGACAATATAATTAGTATTTACAGAAAGGCAACTTACAACATCACATAGATGGATAAATGAGTATCCACGTGATGCAACAAACACATTTTAATACAAGATACTGTAGCTGTAATGGTTTGTATAAGGAGTAGATCTTAGTGAAAATATTGTTAATTTTCATTGCATTGTAATGAACAATAATACACAATCAACATCACATAACAACCCACATTTGCATCCACTGTAGATTAGCAAATGACACAACTTAAGCAATGCTTTGAAGTATCAGTGTTTGTTAGTCATTTTAGAACAGTACAAGAGGATAAAATGCTGATGTTTTCCTTTAATATGCCGCTAGGCTGTTTAATATAAAAAGCAAAGACTGGTCATTTTCACCAACATCATGTAAGGCATAAATTAATGTATTTATGCCTTACATACAATTTGCCTGAAGTCCTCAATTTGACTTTGTATGATTAAATATCTGGTGATATACAATTCCCGTATAGCAGCCTTAACTATATCCAAATTACCGCCACATGACTTTTACAAATGGTTACTCTGTGGTAGGAGAAATTGGTAAAGGCTTTTATTTTTGTTTCCAGATAAAGTCCTAAGTGGAAAAGTCTTTGGAAATGGCCTCTACAAAGTTGGGTGCTGACATGAGGATCCCAATGGTGCAGAGGATAGTGAAGAGTGAGAAAGCCATGAGACAAAGCCTGTCGATAACAGACGCAGCAAATTTCCACTCGTTGCACACCGACTTGTCCACGTCTTGGTCACGGAAGCGCTTGGCAATAAAGCGCACCTCCTCCAGGATCTTGGCCAGCTCTGGTTCCACGCCGCCCGCTGAGGAGCCCTGAGCTGCTTTGAGGAGCATCTCATCCTCGCCTGCTCGCCCAGCCAGCCTTGCACAGAGGACCCCGGAGTCAGGCGAGGTGGCGTTCGTGGAGTACTGGATGCTCTCCAGGCCCCGGATGCCGACATAAAGCATGTTGCCGTTGGTGGATTGGGGGGCTGAGGCGCCGGCACTGAGCTCCATGCTGGTCATGCTGTTCCGCGGGGCCTTGTTGTGACAGGCCGAGTGCAAACGCTCCTCACCTGGGCGCTTCATGCGCAGGAACCAGGCGCACCAGTTCAGCAGGATCACACGGGTCTTTGGGGCCAAACAGTAAAGAATATGGAAGAAATGAATAAGGCTCTTAAAATCAATGAACAGAGGTTACATCCACCAGAGAATATGCAGTCTATCTTCATACGTCATCCTTTATGACTAATTGTGCTTTCAATGAACCCAAATCAGCTCAATATTTCCCTTTTCCCAAATCATAATGAAAAGCTGATTATATTGTAGCCCCAGAAAATACCACTTTCTGATTGGTCTTGCGATAAACACCTTCACATCTTTGGTCAACAGTCAAAAAAGTCAAAAAAGGTATAACCTTTTCACTACAGAAGGTATTTAGCAGGTAACCGCTGCTCTGTGTTATATCATTCTTTGACTCTAAACCTTTTCATTTTAATATCATATCAGGAGACCTCATTGTGCCAGAAATATTTATAGAAACACATTAGCCAGACTCTGAGTTCTCCTGGTGGATATTTGTAACTAACTTTTTTAACACTTGAGGACCTCTCAGTACATTTCTGCCGGTTAAAGATACCCATTTGACAACACAAGGAAATGCAACTTATTCTTAATGAACCGCCGGAAGTGAAGCAAAATGGACTGTAACCTAATAAAAAATAAAAAAGCAGCATAATGACAGTTTATCATTATACTCCCCAGTTTTGACGTGTGGTTAGACGGAAATGGCTAAAGTGGTGTTAATGGGATTAGTCACAAATAATGATGTAATATGAAACGACACTCACCCACTTCGGCATCTTGCCTCCATCGGGGTCATGGTGGTGATATTGTAAGACCAGAACTGTAGCAATTACTGAGAGACCAACAATGACCATGGTGGTGGCAAAGTACTGAGCTGGAGGAGACAGTAAGAGTGGAAACAATAAAACAGATGCAGGTATTATTACGAGGAGAAAACCTGAGGATAAAGTAAAATGTTTCTCACTTTATGTGTCTCATAGAAATGCAAAATGCTACTTTTTCATTTCACTGCTTCAAATATAGTGACTCAGATCTCTATATATATCTCTATGCTGAAACTTAATTACACTGTGATGTGAGAGAACCCATAATGAAAAACGACCACACAAATTTTCACTGGTGTCTTTACACTGATGGTAGTTGACACCCATAGCGACTGCTTTTAACTGTAGCCTGGCGCTTACCTATTAAAGGCACCGAGTCCGATGTGGCGGGCATAATCTCTGCAACCAGCAGCATGAAGACAGTCAGGGAGAGCAGGACTGTAATGCCTGGGGAGGACACCAAATCTCATTAGCACCTCAAAACAAAACTGTTAAGTGGAGTGAAAAGTATTGAAATTACACTGTTGGCTGGGCCCCAAGATTCTCTGCACAAGTTGGTTGTTATAAATGCAATCAAACACACTTTTTCCATCCTTAAAAATTATTTTGAAATAATATGCAAAATAGTAAGTGCGCTATTTCGCTGAGTTTTATTATAAATACTCATTGTTTTATCTTTTCTGTTGAACATTTTGTTCCTAGTTTGCGTAAAGTCCTCCACCCCATCCCAATGCATTTGTGCTGCCTTATATTCTTATGCTATAATTTCGCTTTGTTTCAAATTGTATGCTAATCTTCAACAGTGCGGTATTGTACTGTTGTCAACTGTGAAGGAGAATTCCCCAAAAATTAGATTTGTGTGTGAACTGTTGAAGCTTATAATGTGTCACAGTCACTGACTCCATCACCTGAGAAGGTACAACCGCAGAAAGACACGAAGGTATCTTTGAAATACCTGTGAGCAGAGTTTTCACTAATGAGCTGACATCGCTAAGCCACTGGCTCTTTGGCTGTCGTACTAAAAGACTGAACTTCTCAGCAGGATTAAGAGTCACATTTTCATTAACTGCAGGCATGCTGATATACATTTGGCGCCACTGAAAAACACTTAAAAGCTGCCTCTACATTTTCTTATATGTATTCTTATATCTGTGGAACAAGGAATACCATGTGAATCATTTCAAATGACTATGAGTGGAATAAATATCCTGTATTCTAAAGAGAATGACATTTCAGTACGAAAAATCTGGTGATCCATTTTGTCAGTCTGAGCTAAAAAAATGTTCTCTCATGTGTTTATGAATGAAGAACACGTGAAAATATTTTTGCCAGGAACATTTGCTTCCATTTGAGTTTTAATGAACGTAACTTCCATCCAGTTATTCTGGATAATCAAAATCTGGATAATTAGGGACTATTATCAAAAGAAGTGAATGTTGCTGGTCAGGATTTTTTTATGTTACTTTGAAATGCTTTGAGCAACACAAACTTAATTCCATTCACCTGCATTGTACAGTGATGCAGGCAGATGTTGCAAAGGTGAAATTGTCCAAACCACTGAAAATAAAATCTTTACTATAAACATAGCTCGATACCACATGGGAAAATATGTTTTTGCTTTGTGATTTAGATGAACCAACTCTTTAAACGAATGAATACAATGAACACAGCATTGCTGATGAACCTTCTAATATAAACAACCCTTCACAACACCGATATGAAAATGCAGATGCAAAAATGAGGGGACTTTGAGAGTAAAGATTTACAAACGTAATGCTCACGACTGCCCGATTTTATTTAAATTAAATCTGGGAATAAATGCTGCCATGAAAACACACTTCTAAATGAATGTTCACCATTCTCAAATAATAATGTCACGGCGTGGCTGGGGTTGATATACTGACTTCATATACAGTAGATCTGTGAGCACATGAGCCAGCACACACACACACACACACACACACACACACACACACTTTACCAAGGGAATATAACTCATGACATATGCCTGTTTGTGCTGTGGACTACAGTATAAAAAAACCCTGTCAAACACATTTTAGGAGCATTCAAATCTACACAACAGCTTATTTTACTTCGCATGAGCAATTCTTATTTCCTCTATCTGTCTGTGAGCTATCAAAACTTCAGAAGGAATGCACACACATCTGGCTCTAAAGCACTGTTTGGTTAATGAAGGAATCCAGCTGTGACACAGGACTCTAATGATTTGAAGTAGGCACAAACTGCATAAATCAACCCCACCACTCCCACATACACACACACACACACACACACACACACCAACCCACAGATACTGTCTCCACCAAGCCCGAGTAATTTATGCATGAAATGGGCTCAAACATTCAAGTCAACTGTGACAATTGAGATAAGATTAAACAATTTCTCGGTCCACTGACAGTTAAGTGAGTCACTCAGTGCTGATTATCAGATTACTCCACAAGTCCACAGAGGAAGTGGATTAATGAAAAAACATTGTTTTTCACAGAATGACTGATTACCCGGCAGACAAATGGGCTAGGTTAGGGATTAATAGAAAGGTTGGCTCCGTGTCGAAACCACTTGGGCTATAAAATATTTGATTTAACTATTATCTCTTAGTTTTCAGCTGCATTCTTTGACCTAAAAAACACTCTCCAGTAACATGACCGGAAGCAAAGCAGCAGTTATGTGGCAACGTATCAACTCTTATGTTGTGTCAGAATCTAATCAACTCTGTGTTCAGAGCAGAGCTGGACGAATATATCAAGTAAGCTGAACACCTCCACATGGTGTTACCAATGCAATAGCAGCCATAGTATTGTGTGTGTGTGTGTGTGTGTGTGTGTGTGACCTATACGTTTTTTATTGATGAAAATTTGACGAAAAACATTGATCCCTCGCAGCTGCAGCAAAGGGACCAGAAAGAAATCATCTTTACTTTGGCTTGCAATGATTAGAAACGAATGCATCTTAAAAAATACAGTACAGACTATGAGTGCATGTACTTCAATAACAAATGTGTTGGCATGTATTCAGGGATGTCTATCACTGTGTGTATTTTAGATGCAGATCCAGATCCAACTGCAGATCAAATGAAAATAACAAATTCAGCGGACCCTTGTTGGAGGTATGTGCCATGGTTCCTCTGAATCCTTTATCCAAACGTTGATGGAGATATTTAATATTTGTTTCCCTACTTCATATAGAGAGGGAAAAATAATTGAGACAAACCTTGAAATATAATGCAATCCAATGAGACAAAAAAAGGACGGTGAAATTTACCACCAAGTTGAATCAACCCCTTGACAGCAAGTGTCACAAAGTTTGTATTTAATATAGGACAGTTGCATTGGATTGCATTATAAGGTCAATGTGCATAAAAAACAATAATCAATGAAAAGGCTATTAAATACAAATTCTAAATGGACAGTGTGTAGGATTAGGTGGCGTCTTGTGGTGATGTTGCAGATTGTAACCAACTGAATACCCCTCCGCTCCCTTCTCTCTTTCCAAGAGTGAGGTAACGTGAGCCGTGCGCCAAGTACAAAACATTGGTAACGTTGTTCGCCTCCCTAAAAAGCCCTCCTCACCATAATAACACCACTTCAGGAGCACTGGAACAGCATCTGGCAGAGCCCAATGGTTTTCCACTCTGCTTCTCACGTTACTGCAGTTTCACAAGCGTGTATGATGGCATTCAAGTGACATAAAAATGTGAAAGGCTCTCGCTATAGCCAGAGTTTGGCTTGTCCTTTCTGGGCTGCTGTGGAAACATGGCAGTGCAACATGGCGGACTCTATGAAGAGGAGCCAGTCTCAAATATGCAAATAAGGGTCATTCTAAGCTAAAAAAAACAACAATGAGTCTTAATTTCAGGTTATTATACACTAATGAAATCATGGTTATGAATGTTATATTTAATTTCTGCAAATAGATTCCCCCGAAATGGCCAGTGTGTAACTGCCCCTTTCAATGTCCAGTATTTCAGCAATGTGTGTGTTTCAAACCCAGTGAGATCTTTTCTCCAGAGTCAGCAGGCAGAAGGAAGACGAGCAGCGCCAGAGTGGAGATCAGGACACACGGGATGAGCAGGTTGAGGCCGTAGAAAAGGGTCCGCCTCCTCATCACCAAGGTGAAGGTAATGTCAGGGTACGGCTCCTCGCAGCACTCGTAGGAACGCTCGTTTCTCCGTCCTACGACCTCTGTGAGACGAAACAAAACACGGTCTACCCTGGCAGAAATGGAGTGAAAAGTGACGGAGAAATCATCATTTTGAATTTTGAATATGAATCCTCTCACCGACAAGGTCCCACTCTCCGTTGGCGATGTAGCCTGTGATGTCAGCCTCCAACATCTTCAAGTCCAGAGACCAGCCCCCGTATGTCCAGGAGCCAAACTTCAGCTCACACCTCTGGACATCAAAGGGGAACCAGCGCACATCGATTTGGCAGGTGCTCTTGAAGATCCCTGTTGTGGCGAGAAACATGTTACGTCCAAGACGGATTGCATGGGGTTCCATTTGTGCCAAAATGATGTCACATGTACACTGACTATACCAGCTGAAGATGTGACAAAACAGATATCCAACATTTTAACTACGTCTATTCAACTCGTCGACAGTGAGGACGACGCATCATGACGACAGGGAGTGAAACAAGATGACAGAGGTCCAGTCTAAAGTTGAATTGACACAGACAAATGTTTTGTCAGGTGAGCAATCAAACATAGACAGATCAGATCAGTCAAAAATAGTTCTGTCACAAGGGAAGTACAGTCCAAAGTCGAATAGACAGACAGATGTTTTGTCACATGTTCAGTCGACATACTGCAACATAATTTGGCCCAAAAGGAACCACATAGCATTGAAGAAAGACTTGCTTTGAGATCTATCATACTTCACCTGAAGATGGCTACTGAAGAGAGAGAGAGAGAGAGAGACAGAAAGGGATGGAGTATTATTCAGAGCTCTGATAAAATTTAAACTACTCTGGAATATAGGAAGCAGAGGGAAATTGAAGAAAGAAATGACAGCTAACAGCTAGAGGGGCAGCAAGAGAGGTTTTACTCCAATATCCAATATGATAATGAGAAGAAAGTGGCCGGTAATTCTTCAGGAGAGGATGGACACCAAGCTAATTTCCATCCACATTGAAGAAAGATATGAGACATCCGCAGTAAACAAGGTCTCTCGCCTCTCTCTTGGTGCCATGAAGATGATAAACCTCAGCAGGGAATGAACAGAGATGGGGAGCAGAAAATATGAAGAATGAATGCCATTTACTGCAATGAACCTCAGTGACAAAGACAAGTTATCAGGAAATGATTCTGAACGGTGGTCGAGGTCACATCTGCGTACAGTTTTACTCATTTAACGCAGTTGTGTTGAGCTCAAGCGGTGACTGAGTATTCTGGGCCAATATGGCATTCAATGAGGGTTCATTTGGAACAAAGTTGAGAGGCAATTTGCTTGTGAGAGAGGCAATCAATCCAGAAGAAATTCAATGATGGAGCCATTTATGCACATATTGATTAAGATGCTGAGGAAAGGCAGGCCAGCGCTTTTCGTGGTAGGAGAAAAGAAAAAAAAAGGGGGGGGGGGGGGGTAGAAGAGCCTGCCAGGGTGATCACCAGCTGTGCAATTTACAATGTGTTGCTGTTCATGCATGTGTTTGAGCGTTTGACATTACTGGGATAAGAAAATTTGAAAAAGTCGGTTTGCTTAGCTTAGCATACCATAAAGACTAGAAACGAGGGGGAAACAGCGAGTCTGGCTACGTGCAAAAGGTAACAAAATTCACCTACCAGCACATCTAGAGCTAACTAATTAACATTGTCTTGTTTGTTTGAAGTGGAGCTCCTAGTCAAGAAATATTCTGCCATGTAGCCCCCAATACAACCCCAAGTTGTTGTTTGTACAATTTGCACAGATTAATTAAATTAGATGCAATATGTTTGGTGACCTTTAGAGGGGCTATCAGTTGTATTTTTATACCTTTGGATAGAGCTAGGCTAGTTGTTTCACCTGTTTTCAGTTTTTATGCTAAGCTAAGCTAAGACATGATAGTCTAATCATGCAACTCTCAGCAAGAAAGAGAAAACATATAGTCCGTAAAATGTTAAACTCTTTTCCTTAGCAAAAACCAACTTGAATTTAAGTGTTAATAGATCAACTTTTTGACATAGCTAACCAGCATTTTAGATGAATTTAAGCCAAGACTAATATGCTGATAGCTTTAGGGAGCTTATTCAAAGCTCTCATCCATGAAAACACAGCAGCCGATGCTTTTTCTCACTAATCCTTCGTGGAAATCACCAACAGAACATACAGCATAATGTTTATCATGTTTATACAGCACAATAGCAGGATTCTGCTGAGTATAAATTGTATAAAATCAGGATTGTGTTTGTTTGATAATTGAGCCTCTGGCACGAACGTCAACCTTTTTTGAGCAAATTAATTAAATAACATTTTTTTACATGACTATGAATAGACTGTCAGCTATTTATTGTGGTTTTATGATATTATAATTATAATTAAGCTATAATAAAATAATGATATCTCATCGTAGTTTTCCCCCTGCATTCCTATTTATTTTGATTTATGTAACTGGGTAAAAGTTTTGTATTTCTTCCCACTTTTTTTAAAACTATAACTGTGTGCTGTATCATTAATTTTTTTATCACATTATAAATAATTTTCACACATTTACTTCCTTTGTGTATTCTCTCTCCGACTCTGCAGGTAGAATATCAGGTTAGGTACGTGGTTTGTGTAAAAAGTAGCACGTCTTTCATCTGATAAAATATAGAAAGCATTACATTGCTGCTATTCTCAGTTTAGCTATGAACATCAGGTGTTTCCCAAAAGAAGTAGCATCTGTGACTATCTTGACATATTTTTATGTGTAAAAAATAAAAAAAATAAAAACCCAGCAGAGGAAGGGAGCAATAATTTAACGTCTATTATTTTGGTCTGACTGAGATTCTGACTCTTACCTGGAGGTATGTAGGAACAGGAGCCAGAGGAATTGACCAAAATGTTGGTGTGGAACGTAGCATCAAATCTTTCATCAGCACTGTGGACAACATGGAGCTACATCAGTATTTACTGCAGAGTCATCTGTAACCAAAGTACAGCTTCAGTGGAGAACATGTCAACAAATTCATACAGCGATACAGCCTTTGCAAGAATTAATAATAAGGATACGACATACATTTGGGGGAACCAGAAACAGCGAGTGAAACTGATAAAACAATATCATATTAATGATTATAAGGTAATAATTTTCTCTTGAAAAAAATAACCAACTAATGTAATATTATTTTTATGAGCCCTTGTCAGTCACAGGTCATTAGAAGTGTCCTAACTCCCCCCCCCCCCGGCCCCCCACATATGGTGCCCTGCCTCCTTGGTATGCTGCTCTTGCTTTCTATGTGAACCACCCAAGCTTGATTGATGTCGAGTTGGCCGCTGGAGCGATCGTAAAGGAGAATTGCAAAGGGGTCCACGATGGGAATGACCTCCTCTGCAATGCTTTTTGGAGCCTTTGACAGAGCCATGAAACACTAAAAATCAGGCCTGCCCTCCGTCACCCCTCCTTCATGTTGGACTACTCTTGGGAAACAAGGCTCATCTGTTAAGTTGCCCAGAGAAAAAGTATAAGCAGAGATTGAGGTCCAAATACTAAATGGGTTTTCCTGTTTCATGGCTCTGTCAAAGGCATTCATGACGAGGTCATTTCCTTTGTGGAGGGCTTCACAATTCTCCTCTGTCTCTCCCTCCAAACCGAGAAGACATCACCAAGTCTATATAATTAGGTTTCAAAGTTTTGAAAAAATAATCAGTATTCTATGCTCTGAAAAGTTCTTCTACGATTTCCAAGTGTTATCGGACTGAATTGATCAAATTCTGATCGGTACACAAGTTATTTCACGGGGGTTAACAGCTGCAACAGCAGCAGTTTGTTTGTTAAGGTTAATAAACGAAAGGATTAAGCTCCTAAAACTCTACAGAACTTGCATGCAACAGACATGATATTATAAAGTCAAGCCTTGGTTCTCAGATAACGTGATTTCCTTCTCACAAAGTGACTGAATTCACCATTACCTATTCACCTGAACAGTTTGTGATGTTGTATACGGTATCATTGTAACCCATGAGCATCAAAACATAGGGGTGTTATCATGTTTGGTACAGGAGATTTGATGCAAAATAGAAAAATTTGGTTATGTGTAATGGCGTTTCTGTGATTGCTCAGTTTCTTAAAATCTTCCAAGTGAACATCATTTTATCACCTGGACTATAATGAGTTAGAGAAAGCAGGTACACAGCACACGCAGTGTACCAATTCCCTTGGAGATGGTTATTCAGAAGTTACCCTCATTCTCCTCTGCTACCCACAATTCACTCCCTCTAAATGAACTCCCCAGAGGTTGAGTCATGGTTGAACTGAAGTTGAAGGGGGGGGGGGGAATTAACTTCCAGCAGTCTCATTGAAAGAGTCTCAATCAAGGCTTTCCTCAGAGGGCCAATGACAAATGAAGTACAATGCTTTTCCCCATCATTAGTCGATGGGAGAGTAGAGTGCCTCTGATGTGATTTGTTCAGATAATTCTTTCAAAGGCTGATTAATGATGATCTGTACAGCATTTTCCATTAGGGACATATGATAAAATGCTCTTTCTCCCATCTTTTCTATACAAGTTTATTCATTTTAATTAATGATTTATTACTACAACGCTCTCGTCTAGACTGCAGTGAATATATTTATTAAACTGCAGAGCAACACTAACCTTGAAGTGTAACCAGCTTACCCACAGTGCAGTTGTGATCAACCTAAAAATGTTAATAAGTATATTCCCTTCCTGCACATTGATCATACTTGTACCAGATGTAAACACAAAGTTATTTTGTTCCAAAAGGAATGAGGTTTAGGTTTGTTTTGTGCAACAGCGGCATTTATTTATCTTTCATTTTCTGCTTGTGTGGTCTCTCTCTGCAGGATGTTCTGAATAAGTCCTGTGACAACATGGGGTCTGTTGCTTTGCAGACCTCATGAAACAAGAGCAGGAGCCTAAATATTTCAGCATATTCTGACTTGTTGCCACCTGAAGTTATTTATTTCATTCCAGTGGCTTTTATGTTCTGTTTGCTCAAGGCAATTTTCCACTCGGGTGTTAAATAAAGCAGTTGGCCTCTCCTCTTTAAAAGGAAAACAATGGGTTTAAACATTAAATGAGGCTAATAGATGTCTGCTGCAACTTGTATGTTGGTTGAACAAATAATATGAAAGCTCGTCTTTACCAAAAATGAAGTTCGACCTTTAAATATATGAAAGTAGTCTCATGCAAGAACCTTTTCATTTCTTTATACTTTGTACCTTGAGGTTTGATCGTACAAGTGTTCCATCAGATTTAGCAAAACCTCTAAACAGCACACACTCATTCATTGCTTGTTTCAACTTGATGAATACCACCTGCTCACGAGTAGTAATTGATCATTTGCTGAATCTAAGACTTCCTGTTCTGCTCCATTTGTGGAGTTTCAGTCACAAAACATGTGAACTAAGAGCAAATAGAATAGATTTTCACACCACAGAGCTTCAAGTCGTGATGTCAGAAATCAGCAGATGAAAACTAATTTAGCGGTGTCAGTGGTGATAGAATTAGGGGACCAAAAAAAGACATGACGTTAGAGGCCAAAAGTCACATTTCAAGCCACAATTTCTCTTACACCACTCGTTGATGAATGAATCTGTTCGTAGTGATGTGGTTCTTGCACGAGGCCCAATTCATTTTTTATATATATTTTTTACATATTTTCAACACAGAGCCAAAATAAAGAATTACTGTGTGTTTCAGAAAAATATTTTCTGCCGTGTCTAATGTATCACAGTCAGTGTCATTGTCACAATCTCGTTTTCAACTCAGGAAAACAAAATCCAAAAATGCATCATCCCTCTGACATCCCCCCCCCCCCCATTATATTGTGCAGAGGACAATGCATGCATGCTGAGTCTGACACCATGCATATCCAATTACAGTGCAGCACCAGCGGATCTGTCCTTACAATACCTGTTATACAGCAGAATGTCTGGCTTCCAAATGAGATGGTCAGGGAATCTCACATTGCTCACACCTGGATACGCTGATGGATCCCACCGGAGGTAAGAGTCATCCCAGAACTGTGGGATGCAGAAATATGATGTATTTTTCATATTTTACATAAACAACTTTAATATATCCTTTAAACCTGTAAGTTTGGCGAGCCTATTTTAGATTCACAAGAGGATCCATAGCAATAAAAGAGAAATAGGACATACGAGATAAAAGCTTTTTTTAGGGCTGCAGGGTTAAAGCCTCTCTGATGAAGTTCGCTGACTCATCCAAGGAACACATAAATTTGTACTTACGATGTCTTACATGTAGGGACACCAGAGAACACAAACAGCTGACTGGCACTGCAACATCTAGGAGACTGAAGCAACAACCTCGTTGCATCATTGTGAGCCACTATGAGCCTCCATGTACTACTTTTCATGTTACATCAGAGATGAGCTACATACTGTAGGTGTGCAGAGGGCTCTAAATAATGAACATTGTACATTGACAGAACACATAATAAACTTGCGAATAAACATGTGGGCCTGAGTATATAGGGGTTAAAATAAGTATGTTTGTTATGTAAAATAAGTGCCTTTGTTATGTAACTTACTAGAGTAGGGGGGGGGGGGGGGGGGTCAAACCTTCGCCATAATTTGTAATATAGCATCCCGGCCCACAGCAGATGTGTACACATGATTACTTGAGGTGATTTCCAGCAAACTGGGACAGCTGGTTGATCTGGCTAACACATCATATCTTGATTTTTTACATGTTGATGAAATTTTATAAGAATTTGTGCACTCAGATCTATAATACATGTTCTAGTTAATCATGGTATTCAAATAATGGCTTTGGTCAGCATGAAGAAATATAAAGGTCAGTCAGTAATGAAGGCTGAGTCAAACACATGGAGGGAGGGGAGATCACCTGTAGCTCACATGGTAAATTCAGAATAAACCCCAAAAAACCAAACTATCACTCAGCTGTCCTCGACAAAGCACAAACATGTTTAAAAACGAAACGGAAGCCACTTAGCTATGGCATTATGCTCTAAATGCTACAATTGTCAGTGTGTTTATTATTTGTTCACTCCAACACCATCCTGTATATGTATAATAACAGACTGAGTGTGTGTGTGTAATCTTACAGTCTCAAAGTGACTTTCAGAGATAAACATCTTTAGCACATTTAAACTTTCTTTCCCAGAGTTCGAACAAGTAGACTAAGCCAACACATATGCTGGATCGGCGCTAACAGACAGATACTGTGAATGCTGTCTGCGCTATCTTGCGTTCCAGAGCCGAAGTCGATTGTGCAGGGTGTGGAGTGAGAGACTGAGTGAGGATGCTGCTGTGATTCCTCAAGGTGATTTAAAACAGACCAAAGCGCCTCGATACAGCTTGCTGATGGTGCAGCAGCAGGGAGCTCGTGTCACACAATGGACAGGCTGCGATAAAACATGCAAGTTCAAACACTTCATCTCACTGCATGGAGGAGGAAGGGGCGTACTGCCCATGTGGAAGGTGAAAGGGGAAAAACTAGGTTTGAGTAGAAACATAAGAACTACACATTTATTGTGATTAGATACACAAACAGAATACCAGGATAGAGGCTTAAGTTTAAGGTACAGTTTGACAATTAAAATCAACCTACAAGCCCCTCTTAAGCTCACTTAATAGCATGCTATATCTTGTTTGTTAAATCTTACATGAATGGAAGTGTGAAAAACAACAAATTTGTGGATTTTTGTTGGGATTTTGTGCCTCACTTTTTAAGGCACATAAGTTGCAGCCAAGAATAAGTCCTACACAAAACCCCTGAAAGACGGGGAAATGGTCGTGAAGTTTAGCTTTTCTGTGACTTTACATACATTGTACAGGGAAAGGTCTTACCAGCTGTAGCCAGATGTTGGTTGTCAAAACCTGGTTCTTCTCATCCTGTTATAAAATGATGAAGTGATATTTAGTAACATTATCATTCAGGTCATTTTGTACAGGTATTTTCTCAGTTTAAGTTTTATAAAGGGAATTTTAAAAAATGCATAAACGTCCACAGTAGCTGAACCTCTCATGGCTGTGGTAATAGAAAAATAACTGACTGTGAAGCAGTGGCTGCTCGGCTATTACACTTTGAAATTAAGACTCAAAGACGTCCAAACCCAGATGTTAATTATCCAGAAATGTATCACTATGGATTAAATATAACTGGAACCCTAATTTATTCAGAAAATAACAGCTAGTTTTGACTTTACACATATTGGAATTGATTTTGGCTGTGAAGTGACAAGACAGTCACAATCTTTATATTGAGTTATCATAACACCGCCTTGTGCACATAAATGCTCAGTAATGTGAGGACAGTCATTAGATACGTACCACATCCATGATCTGCATGAGGGTAAGGCCGAATTTAACAGTGAGACTCTGAGAGTCGTTGGAGACTGGTCTCACCAGCGGGTTGTAGCCAGCCATCAGGTCCTTGTACAGTCTGCTCTGCTCTGGCCCTTGAAGAGAAACTACAGAAGACAGAGAAACCCAGACAGGAAATACTTTCATAATCCCTTCAGACAAAATGTGAGCAAGACAGACACTGTTAGTCACATCTATTGACAATTCATTTTCAATTACATTGGCAAACTCCGATATAAACAGCCATCCTGCAGCACAAACAACCCTTTTTTCTACTTTAAGCTGAACTAAATGACTCTCTGAGACTGCTTTCAGCTCAGTTTCTCTTTCTCTTTTTCAAGCAAGAGCAAAAGCATTTGTTTGGAAAAAAGAGACAAAAAGTGAATTTGACCAATAGAAAATCCAAAGAGAGGGGCGTCACAGTACTGAACCTTTTGTGATCGACTAATCTTTGTGTATCTAACATAGCATTTATACCACAGTACTGAACGGGTTTAATGCTTGTTTGAACGCGTCTGATGTTAAATGTTAACAACGGCAGGCTAACATACTCAGAGGGACAATCAAGCGGCAACCTGCAGGTCCAAAGCCAAAGTGCCATAAAGTTGCATTATTTCTGATAGCCAGCAGGGGCCTCATGAAAGATATTTGTAACATTTTGGTCGGATTAAAATGTCTTATTCAGCATTCAGTTGTACTCAGTTCCACCCTCTCATGTCACTTCTGGTTGCAAAAAGCAAGATGGCGACAGCCAAAATGCTGAACTTAAGGCCTCAATAGGTGACGTCACGGTTGCTACGTCCACTTCTTCTATACAGTCCATGTTGACAGGTCCTCTTCACGGAGCTGGCAGCCACGTTACTACAGTAGCCCAGAACAGTCTAACCAAACACTGGCTCTAGAGAGGGGCATTCATGTTTTCACACCAGCTCCCGTAGTTCTCCTACGCGCTTGGCCAACAGGGGAAGTTTCAGTTGGTTGCAATCTGCAAGCTCACGGCTAGATGCCGCCAAATACGACGCGCTGCAATCCATCCAATAGTAGATGTATTACACTCTGGAGCACAATTTAAATCTCGTGGTGGCACTAGAGGAAAAGTCAGGGGACAACCAAAGTCAGTAGACTTTATCCTCTCAGGAACATGAATGTCTGTACAAAATTGCGGGGTAATCTTTTCAATAGTTGTTGAGATATTCCATTTTGGACGAAAGTGATAAACTGACTGATATTGCCCAATAACAAAGCCCCAACACTAGATTAACCTTCAAATCATTTAAAGCCAATTTAAGTTCAAGGATGAGACTGACCCAAAGCTACAATCCCCACACTCTCACATCATTCAGTACCTTCCTGAACTCCTGGCTCATTATCAAACCTCTTTCCATTTGTAATCTTGCTTCATCCTGCAGCCACCACTCCAGCTCCCCCGTACACCAGGTGACTCAAGAAACCGCTCACTCTAGAATAATTTAGCATTTCAATTAATGTTTGGTGAGGTCTTTTTTTTTTTGTTAAATCAAAGTGAGAGTGGAATATTCTAACTAAGTCCAGGGTGGTGAAACACGATCCAAATACAATACCTGGACTGGGTTCACCTCACTGTCGAATCAGACCTGCTCCTCATTTTAACACACTCTCGTATTCCCCACTTGAGCTATGGAGCATTTTTGGCAACATTTATTCACTTCACTAATGGCCACAGTGGCCCAATGATCCTAAACAACATGAGAAGCTCATTATCCCGATGATTTGGCAGAGATCTGGTTGTCTGTCGGCATCTCCCCATTCCTCTGCTCTCTGTTGCATCCAGTTCTTTCACGCAAAAGACAGAAATATTTGCTGAAAGCTTCTCTTTGTCCGTGGATCAGTCCCCTGGAGATCTGCCACCCTACAAATCTCACCATAATCAAATTTCACCATGAAGATCAGCAAGACGAAAATGAATGTGTGTCATTGTGTTACGCTTTTTCTGAAAAACATCCTGGTACATTACTGGCTGTCAGACCACAAAACAAGCATCGCTGTTATGTTGCTAATATGTTGCTGAAAGTGAGCTGGGAGCCATCAAAGAAAACCAGAAGCAAAGCATTTCTGCCTCATAATCAATTTAAACAGCCTTGATAATGTCAGAGAGATGGACAAGGGCTTTAAGTACCCAAGACATGTGCTCAGACATTTAGACGTGCATGTATGAGCACACGCTAACACCACTTATCTCCATCTACCTCTTTATACTTCACTTTAGGGGAAGCCTTAATCTACTGGTGCCTGTAAAGTGCAGACTGAAGAGTCTGAGTCGGTGATTACCATTAAATGAACTGCCTCAATCAAAATATTCAAAATTCAGAGCAGATCTGAGGAAAATTGATGAGACACAGCATGTCTCGAAGGTTTCTTGAACTAATTACCACTTATAGGGTAACTTAGATTTTTGTTTTAAATCCAAATTTGCATGGGGCGACTTGTGATGTGTGTCCTTTGAGTCGGAGCACGGGCAGCTGTACAAAAGCCACAACAAGAACACTGTCACTCAAGTGCTAATAAAGAAACTTTTGTTGAGCTAACCAATACAGTGAAGGTCTTTGAATGATGAACTTAGTGTGACAGTTCCTGTGTTTTCGAGCAGTCTCTCGGTCTGTTTGTGTCGATCTCTCTCCGTCTCTCTTAAATTCAAATTCATAGGGGGTTTATTGGCATGAAAGTTTCAAGGACAGTTTTTGTCAAGAAATCAAATCATCATCACAATCACTTTTAATTGTTTGCCTCAGTGTAGGAAAACAATAATACCACGTTATTTCCCACATTTCTATTGACAAAAACAGCTTGCAAGTCTCCCTTGAAGCTTATCATGAGAAACCTCACATAGCACCATTAGAAGCTGCAAGAAGTTCAGCGTTGGGCAGTGTGCCGGTTTCATGTGCGGCCACAATGTGGATTTTGCACCGTCTTTACAGTGATAATCACAGGTTTTGGTTTTAGCGCACACACACACAAGGACAAGGGAGATACAACACCCAATGAACTGTGTCACTCCCACACAGTTTATACTGTTTATGGTTACCTACAGGTGACCGCCACGTGTTTTGTTCCTTACCGCTCAAACAGCGTCTGCACTGCGTATTTACAAACTCTTTCTTCAGCTTTAGCTTTCTTCAAAGATGTAAATTAGTTTAAGTGTCATTTAATGTAATTCCCATTTTGGTAAAAAGAGGTGAAACAACAGTAAATATGTAAAAAAAACAACTACTTTTTTGCCCTGAATATTCTTTATAGCTGAGATCCAGGTTGCAATACAACACTCTGAATGAATCACAGTATGTTTACATAATGGGACAGCCTCCTCCACCCAAAACACATGTGTGTCTACCATAAGCCAATAAACTCATCCGTCTTTTTAGAATATTTTTTTATTTCATAAGTTATGTTGCCTTACATTGCAAAGAGAGTGAACATTGGTAGAATCATCTTTTCAGCGGAGCACCCCTTTTTGAATTACTCAGACACCGCAAACACCCCCCCCCCCCCCAAAAAAAATAGCGTGATATAGATTTTAGGTTATATCGCCCACCCGTATACACACAGCGCTATGACTCCATATCACAAATGTCTGAGATGTAAAGTGCATTGACATCATTGCAGGGTGCAGATGGGAGATTGTTTGTCAGTTGCTACTGTACAAAATATGCCTACTGTACCTACATGAAGAGCTTTAAAGTGAGAGAAAACACATCTTGCCACCAAATGCAACCACACACAAGCACAAAGCCAATCGCTGCATCGTTACATGAAATGGAAACGCAAGTCTTGTCATTCACTTTCATACAGTTAGCCCACATTCAGCGTTGTGCATTGCTGAAAACGATGGGTGGTTTACTCTGAATGTCGATTTTGCTTTAATTCATAATGGCAGGGCAGCACTGAAAAGGTTGCGAATATAGTAAACAACTCCCCCACAACATTATACTTTCTAGTAGTTCATATTCACATATCACATGAGGTAATTATGTAGCCTACTATTGATTAAAAATAGCATTAAATAACGTTAATGTTACCAAAACTCGGTGTTTGGCACAACAGGTAGGTGATGTAATCCCATGAGCTATAGGCTTGCAAATCAATCCAGTGCGGAGCAGGTGAATTACACACATGAAACGTAAACACCCAAACGCGCGTCCTATTAAAGATTCTCCAGGGTTTATGAGTTAATTAAAGCACTTAAAGCGCGCGCTGACAGCCTACCTTTCACCGTGAAGGCGGTGACTGCGAGAAAGAGCAGAACATTCAGTGAGTCCATGTTGAGCCGAGCGAGGAGCGCGAGCGGAGAGTTTCATCTGAACCTGACGGGATGCGGGGCTGATGATATTGTATGCGTGTGTGTGTGTGTGTGTGTGTGTGTGCACCAAATAACTCCTCCTACTTATGAATAGCTCTCAGATAGGACAGCCATCAGATTTGTTGTAGCATCAACACTCAACAGTAGGCTAGTTGTCTCACTGATTGCCAATGCGACTATTGATAGAGGATGACAGTCGGCCTATATATACTAAATAGACCAGCCTGTGTTTAAAAACGTTCAGAAATGTCGATTTCATCACCACATATGACTACTGTTGGTACAAAGGCATGCTTTATCTAGCAGTCACGAACTAAAGCACCCATCTATCTGCTTGCCCACTGCATCGTTGTCCCTATACTTTTCAAAAAGAGTTCAAATAGTTTGAAAGGTGATGCACGGGGAGGCTGAAAAAGTTGTACAGTACCACACTGAGCCACAATCAAGGAACTTTTTTGCAAAACAAGGTGACATCTGCTGGTCACTGACCAGAATTACAACTGTATTTTGAATTTAGCAGCTCAGACTGTTATGTGGTTCAAACTCTTGGATCTCATTTTTGACCAAAGTTCTGAAAAAAAACAAAAAAACAATCTATATCAACAATAAACTATGCAAGGAGCTATTCCCCCTGGGTGTTTGGGTGTTGCATAGGTTGGAAATCCATGCAACATCCACCCCTACAGCACCAGTATCACCGTACGGCCTGATAAGAGACCCACAACCAATCCCAGAATATAAAGAGCATAAAAATAAAAAACTAAATAAAAAGAATACATCAAAAACAGGTCTCAATTTGTCTATGTTTGGTGTAAATTGTGATATCTATTAAGACTTCTGGGGACATGCAGTAGTATGTCTACAGTACTCTGGGGTAATAATGTGAAATATTCATTTTATGACGCAATAAAGCATCAAAGATAACATAAGAATATCGCAGCAAAAACAAAAGTAAAATACTTAAAGACCCCAAAGGACATCATATATACACATAAGTAAATGTGTATTTTTAGACAACTATAAGACTAAAAGTACATTCATTTGATGCATTTTATGAAAACTCAGAGTTTCTGTGTCTTGAACAGCTGCTGAACTGTGTTTACATGTCTACCCTCCACTGCAAGTGCATGAGCTGATATCTGCATCAACAGGCTGTACCTGAAGATAAACACAAACATAAATGTCCTTTGCTCCCTGACGTGTTTGCTTTGGAATGTGGCGGCTAATTAAATGGCGCAGTACATTCATGCTAGACAGGTTGAAAGGAGCTGATTAACAGGCATGTCGGCTGTATGTATGTGCGCTGCATGTCAAATGACATGCTTCATTAGTCACGGGATACCTACACTGATGAATACATTTCATCACGCTTTTATCAGTGTGTCAGAGAGCTGGGTCCAATTAAATGAACACACAAGTGAAATTGCCATTGGACTTTGAACAAACTTTGGTAATTATTTAAACACAACATGACCCATCTGGTTAGGTTAACACCAAAATCAATTGACTTGGAAAAGCTCAACCGAGATTTATCGTCAGGTGAGGTCAGAAAGGTAAAGAGATTGTGAAGTAAGAATGAATTGATGGAGGCTGCATTCATGTAGAAATTAATAAAAAGTGATGGAGGCTGCATTCCTGTAGAAATGAATAAAAAGCTGTCTGTGCATATGAGCTGAAACTGGAAGACCAGCTTTTGGTGCTTTTATAGCTCCTCGGAGACCAAATTTCATTTTCTATGTTTGTTTTCAACTGAACTGCACACAACAGATGGTTGCATCATTATTGATAGCGTTCCCCCACAACAGGAGGCAAAGTCTCGCTGGACTAATCACATCCTCTAATTAAAAGACCGGAAATATTCCATACATATTCAAGGTTTTTCTTTTTAGATTTTTATTTTTTTTTACTCTTTCTTGAATAATGCATTCTTTGAAAAGCCCAAGATTCAATAATAGTTACATTAGTAACTATGTAGTAACATGTTACATTTGGAATATTTTTTGGTGCACTCAACAACAAAACATATATATAATCACTTAGCACGTACAACAAAACACACAATTACAATAAAGTAACCATAAATACAAAAGTGCAACCAGGTGGCTCATGCCCTTAAAGTGACAAGTGTGCTTGTTTACACATCCTTTGAAGGGTGCAGATTGCTTCAGGGTAAGTGCTCGTGAGGAAGTGAAATGTTCTAGTCTTACTACTGCACAGTCTTTATCCTGAGGGCAAAAGACTGAATGAAAGGTTTGCAGGGTGTGAGTAGTGCTCTAAAATATTCAAACCTTTCTGCTGCATGCAGAAGCGTAACTTAGTTATAAATGTTGTACATAAATAAGTAAATAAATTCAAATGTTGGGGCCAAAGGTTAGTTGACAGACAGAGGAGCCTTTTGACATGACACAGTAAGAAAAGCACTGGTGTAAATATAAATTGAGTTTGCTACCCCAGCCTCCACGGCTAGCTCTGAACCACCAGAATACTAATAGACATTTAATGTTTAATTAAAATCAATTTGTAATATGAGAAAGTTTTTTTTTGTTTTTTTTAAGTTTAAAAATCAAATATTAAGCAATCTATTATTAAATACACTCACACATGTATTTTCTATTATTTTTCTGATCTGCCTGTTTTATTAACACTTGAACCATGAAGTCATGGTTGTGTACACAGAATTTTCCGATTCGCCTACAAATCATGACTCCGGGTTAACTGCGCCCTATCCACTTCTAACTCCTCTGCTGCAGTTTGATTGGTGGATCAGTCGAAAGGGGCGGGAGCAAGGCAGAAACAAGGAAGTGAATGTGAGTTGTTTGACAGAAAGATGTTTACCGTAGTTTAACCCCGTTAACGTTTACCGTTAGTTACACCAACTGTAGCTAAGAATGCAGTCTGTGCGAAAACGTGGAGGCAACGACTCGACAATACAAACGAGGTTGGTACATTATGCTGACGTTTACGATACATTTTTAGCCGTTTGTTGTCAGTGAAGGAAAGCAGAGTCGGTTCAGAAACTACAGAGACTGTGGGATATTAACAAATTAACTTCTTTATAACCTCTTTTCACCAGTTAGTGTTTACTAACGTTAGTTATCCTGCATCTTGTGTCCAGAAAGTGTCTTGTAGCGGTTTGTGGTTATAAATAAGGACTGACTGACAAACACTCGGTTTCATATGTCAGAGATGTGATGCCGAGAGAGGGTTTTGGTTCCCTTTGTCTTGTCTGCAGTCAGTCTAATCACATGACTGAACAAGCACTGCTGGAAGTAATTGTGAAACTGTGACAACAGTAGTGGTCGACAAACTGAATGATGTTGGTTACAGATCAGAAAAAGATGATACCATAAACAAGCGTTGGAGCAAACAAGGTCCATACATTAGTTAGTTAGCAAGTCTACAATAACAAGGAAACCACATTCCCCCCCCAAAAATATAGCATCTAGCTGTCAAATTAGCACTTCTATAAAATTCTAGTAAATCACAAAACAGCTAGAATAAACAGAAGACAGGTAATCCCCCAGAAGGACATCTCAGGATTCAATAAAAGATGCTTGTCAGTATACTCAGATCTGACAAAATGAGAGATGTAACAAATGTCAGGTCATTTGAAAATACCATGGAAGTGTGCCAGCAGGGATTGGATGTATGAATGACAGGAGTGAGGCTTTCCAGCAGACGTGAAGGTTGACAGCTCTATTAGTAATCCGTGTCTATGCCGCTGGTGTTGACGAGCAGCCAATGTTCCTTTTGCATAAACTGCGAAAGGTGCTGAAGAACCCGCAGCGTATTCAGCCGCACTCATCCTTTTGTTGTGCTGGTAAATATACTGAACCGTAGTGTCCGCGTTCAGCCTGCAACAGGAAATTGCAGATTGCAGTTGAAGTTGAAGAGGTCAGCAAATCCACAGCCGCTGGTGCAAACTTCATCAGACGAAAGAAACGAAAAAAGACAGATTTTTCATAGTGGAACACGTACTGTAATTTAACTTACATGTAAAAGTGTATGATGGTATTCATACACTACATTGTGCAAATGACGTTTTCTACTTATTTACCATAATCTGCTCGATTCTGGCAGCTAGAATATTCAAACTCTTAAATGCAAATACTTCCAGAAAGGTTTGTTTTATTATTATAATAGATATGTACCATGCCATCTTGTATTCGAATGACTATTGCAAAGAAAAGTGCGTTGTTACATTTTATATGAAGGATCATGTGGCCAAACATTTATAATTGGAATTAGGTAGATTAGTGAAAAGCAGCAAAGGCCACCATGTGTTTTAACCTGAATTTACCGCAGTATTAAATACTATAAACCTCACTTTACTTCAGTATACCTCTTTTCTGCCCTTTGCTTTTGTAACGTTGCTTTATTATGACGACTGACAGTCACTGTGAATGTATGTTGACAGCACTCCTGGTGGGTTGAAGGAGAATGTGCCACAGCAGAAGAGGCCGCATTTCCACTTTGACCTGTGGTTCTGTCTGACTCTGCAGAACTGGATACTGGACTTTGGCAGACCTATTGTCATGGTAAGGAAGATCAATGCACGTTTGATGGTGAAATAATGATGGTAAAAATGGATGGTTACACCATATTTCTTGGAGGAATGAACAGTAAATACTTTCTTGGTACCGTATGTATTAGATAACCCTTCCTCTTGAGTGGTTTCCCCTCAACAAGCCCAGTGCTGGAGACTATTTCCACATGGCCTACAATGTCATAACACCGTTCCTAATGCTCAAGGTAAGCGTCAACACTCCGGAGCACTTTAGTGATTGTGAGAGAGATAAATGCAAAGAATATGCAGTATGTTCTCTATATCAGGCTGATAACAAACTCTCCTAATGAAATAGCTTTTACATTTTTACCACCACAATAAAACACGTACACAGCCTACCTACTAACCAACATCAACAGACGGGTATGATTGACTATAATATAATTGCCTGTGACAAAGAGCACACAAACAGGAAACCATTTTGTTCTCCATGATTCATATAATATATATGTAAAATAATAACAAAAAAAGAAAATATCTGCAGCACCTGTAGACACAGCTCAAACATACAGCAGCAGGCTGATTAACCCGAGGTGCCAATAATGAATGACATATACCGTTGCGTATTAATTATGCTGAAAGTATTACATTCCTGACAGTGATTGTGGTTCACTGTGGGTTGCCTTTGCACTACTTCCATCACTGCAGGGAAACCTGACACGACTGAATAAGAATTATTTTACATATTTGTATGTAGCCTGCTGGAGCCTCTGGATATGATGATTATTTACAATGAAAAACATGCAACGATGCTTTACAAACAGAAACCTGTACTTACTCGTAGTTGTACTGTTCATGTTCGTGTTGCTTATTATTCATTCCTTATAGCAGTTTGTTCATCTTGAGACCCAAAAGAAATCTCCGTAATGTATTTCCTTCTCAGTCTCATTCTAGACCACTTCATATGTTGTAAACTCTGATTAACGTTATGATTAGATTGTGATTGAATTTCACACCTAGCCTAGCACTTCAATGATTTTATCAATCTCTACTTTCCATATAAATCAGAATTCGGATGCGTTTGTATTGTATATTTATTTTGCTGAATATGCTGCAGAGAAATGCACCTGAGGCTCTTGTTCTGTCAGTGTTGCATAGGATTGGTCTGGAATTACAAACCCCTTTCATGTGATTGTAATCATAATGTAGCTGGATGGGCAAACTGGGTTAAGTGAGTCGGTTGATGATCAGCTTTACGAGATCCAACATGTTAATGCCAAGCTGCCTCACTAGGTGGTACAAAACAGGGTGAAATAAAGCAAGTTAATTGCTTCCCTGAAGGGATGGAGGCTGTGCCCGTGATTGTATTATTAAACGGAAAAAATAAAAAGTATAATTTCCTCGTAGGATAAAGTTGGTGTCATGAACACTGTGTGTTATTGCTCCATTCAGCTGATTGAGCGCAGTCCCAGGGCGCTGCCTCGCACAGCGGTCTACCTCTGCATCATCACCTTTGTGATGGGAGCCAGCATCCACCTGGTGGGAGACTCCATCAACCATCGGCTCATCCTGAGTGGCTACCAGCTCCACCTGTCAGTCAGAGAGAACCCCATCATCAAAGACCTCAAACCTGCCTCTCTGGTGAGTAATCTATTATGTTTAAGTAGAGTAGGGTCCAGTTTTATTCTATGATTGGTGTACTGGGATCACTGGAATACCCTGAGAAGATTTCCTTCAACAAGAAGGTTGACTTGACTCCTGGTCCCTATACTCCTCTACAGAATCGATTCATATATTTTGTTACCTGTCATAATGTCATACAACAAAAAAAAATGTGTTTGTGCCGCTTGCCATGACTCTCCAGAGAATACTCAGTGACTTAAAAGTAAGAGTTTTTCTTGTCCACCCATGACACGAACTATCAGTATTTTCACACCTGTGTGATCCAGCAGAAGTTTTGCCGCTGTGTAGGAGTGCAGCTTATTTTTTCTCTCTGCTCTGTCGTTGTTATCACATCTTTTTTTATTTTTTGGTCATCCTGATTCCCGCACTTAGCACGGAGCGTCATACTTTTGACAATAACGTGGTTGTCAACGAGATATAAAAAGGTTGATGTTTAGCATATCTGGGGCAGGATAGAAGGAGGCAGGAGTATAGTATGTAGGTTCAGTAATGCATGTTGTTCACGTTCAGACTGGCACTGGCTAGATTTGATCCCTGGCTCTGAAGGTTGATGTCTTGTGCATCTCCTGGCCAGTGGGGCGACCGTCAGTGACGGAGGTTAATGGGAGAAAACAGTTTAAGGCCAGAAATGATAAAACATGTTTAGATGTACTGCAATAATGTGATTTATTGTCATTTACATGTAGATGTCCAAGAATCTGATTCTCTACTCCTTACCATACATTTGGACTGAGATGTCTATTTTACATCAAAAGTGGATGTTGTATTAGAAACCTGATAAAGGACTTTTTTTCCCTCTGTATTCTGTTCTGACCATTTTGAGAGACACTTTTTACTGTAAAAACATGTCTGAATTGACTTATTTAGACTCAGTATTATTTAGACTTAATATTTTCTTTTTTTCTATACAACCATAAAGCTACAAGAAATATTTTCATCCCACCACTCTGCTGATACTTTCCCTGTGCGGTGTCTTTGTCAGGATATAGCAGACGTAACGTTATGAACATACTTGCTGAACCATTGATACCGTAACAAAACATTCTATTTGGTATCCTTGCATTCTGCGTTCTCAGCATAATACTGGGTGAATCACTTTCAATTCGAGTTTGTCAGGTCAAGGAAATTATGAGCATCCCATTGTGCCTCTTTTGTGGGTGTATGTATTACACCCACAACACACACACGCACACACACACACCATGAATGATGTTTTACTGTCAACACCAGAGCAGCCTCAACTCTGAGAATTGATAACATTGTGCTTTTACTGCAGATGGCTCCGTCTGATGCCGTTTCATTTAAGTTGCGTCAATTCAAAACCCTTCTTTTGTTTTACCATTTGCTCATAAGCACCGATTCATGTGGAAAAGCAATGAATATTTGCAATGCATCTTTTAACTTGAAGTTTGTCAAGTAAATTGCTGATAGAATCTCTTTAAATGGATTAAACGCCACATCATAAAACTGCATGACGTGTTTAGAATTAATAGATTAGCGCATTCACCTTTTCGTGAGGATTTACAGAAGAGGAAGTAATACAAGAAGAGTGATTGCACACGGTGTTAACAGAAACATAGCTTTTCACACTAAAATAATACTGTAGATGTAGAACGATGTGGCACGGCATTTTTTTAAATAAATATATTTTCATATAAGATAGTGAACGGGAAAATGTGCTCAAAGCCGAGAGGGTTTTGACGAGCGCTTGAGTGTCATTTTAAACGTCAAAGTAGTGCAAAAGGCAGGAGAATACAAACCACATAATGTAGGAGACGATCAATATATTCTACATGGGTCAAATGGGTTTGGTGTTTAACTATAGATGGGTCACAAATTAAAGGGAAAAACCAATAAAAACCGTCTTCAACTGCCCGAGCATAAGATATTCCCTCTAAGTTGCTCTACTGGATGGAGATGTGGTGATGTGATTCACATCATATTCGTACTTAAACCATTCAGGGTCCATTCGTGTTCTGTGTAGAAGCATCTGCATTTGTTATGTTTCTCTGCCCATTTATTCAGGCTTTTCCCTCTCATTTGCAACCTTTGGATGCGTTTCCTCCTTCATAGCCATAATAAAGTGTAACTGGTACTAGAACAGTAGGTGGCACTGTGGCATAGGACCAAGATGCAGAATAACATCCAGTATATTAGAGTGCCATTAAAACATCCTGTTAATGTTGTAATGAGAACATTTCCTTTCTCTTTGTCCTTCCTTTCACAGATTGACTCCTTTGAGCTGCTGTATTATTACGATGAACACCTGGGACACCTGATGTGGTACGTTTTTGTTGTCTCTTTTGAAAACGCATGGATGCGAGAAACCAATGAAAGCGTAGATTCAGAGAATTTGAACACAAGCTGAGACAATAACATCTGCAGCCGATCATCAGCGTGCTGGAATATGTGGCTTTTCCCCCCATCTCTATAGACAAAACAGATTTTAGGATGAGCAGACTGAGCAGGTCTGTTGTGACCGATTACACCAGCTGTGTGAAGCAGAGTGTGCTGACTGGAAAATGAATCCAACGACATGCAGAATCAGAGAAATATATTTTAAAACAAATCCGTTTTTTATACAAACACATAAATTGATAAGAATCCCTTTGCATTTGTCTTTCTTTCCTAAATTGTGGCACTGATATTTTACAGTTACCAGACTAGTTGTAAAGGCAGCAGCTGTGTGCGTGAGTTGACTGGTTTACTAACTGAATTAGTTTGACTAATCATTTCAGCTCTAGTTGGTTTGTTCTGTTTTACAATATGACGGGTAATAAAGAGTTTGGTTTAAGCAGTGTTCCTGTGCTTCAGATGTCCTGAAATGATTTGAACTGAAACCTGCCAGCCGGTTTTCTACGGCCATGGTACAATATGTATCCCTTATTCTCCCAGATAGTCAATTTGAGAAACGGATACCAGCACAACCCTTTTTTCTGAACAACATTTTTAATGACACCGACTCAAAGTCGAGATTGTTCTCTTTCACTCGGCCCTGCCAGGTTTGCTTCATCCCTTTACAAAGAAATACTTGGATGTAACTGGGACCAGTCGCCTATACAGTTTCTGCCTCTTTTATTCCTCTAGGTATATTCCTTTCTTCATCATTCTGTTCATCTACTTCACCGGCTGCTTCACCAAGGCTGAAGAACAGAAGAGGCTGCCCGTCTCTGGTTGTCTGTTGCTGGGACCTAGCTCTCTCTACTATTGGTCAGTCGCCTCCTACACGTCTTTGAAGATCTTCTGTGCCTATTGTCCGTGAATACATGGTTTTGTTAAAGGCCACCTTTTCAGTAGTCTGAATGCTGGGACATTAAGGAACAGTGGAATCTGATAATGGTCTTTAATAAATCCACACTTTAGAGCGTTCCCTGTCAATGACATAACAAATGCTTTGTTCAGGATTTTCAGTTTCGGATGTTAGTATGCAGCGCTTCAGTAGCATTAGATATCCTTTCTACAGAGTTTACATAATGACAAAAAAGAATTTAAGTTGTTTACTGACTGGAACAATTGGAAACTGTATTTCAGCACCATATGGCTTCTTTTGGAGGGATGAAAACATTTACTTCCATCTTCATTTGGTGCAGAAATTCAAATTCAAGCTGCTCTCAATCAAAAAGTCCTTTTTTTGTTCAAATTGAACTGCCAATATAAAAAGTGAAGTGAATATTTTCATTGTGCAACAATGTCTAAAGTGTCCGAAAACAATGAAACAGCCGCATTGTGTGCTCATTGCAAAGGTTGCTGTTGTTATTCAACGTCTTGCTGAATGTCTTCCAGGTACCTGGTCACTGAAGGGCAAATCACTGAACTCTTCCTCCTCGCCTTCCTTGCCATGGTTATCATTGTGATACATCAACATCGTAAAGGCCTCAGTCCAGACAGCAATGGCCTGTTCCTGTTCTGCAGTTTCAGTGTTACTGTGCTCCTGGTTGCCCTGTGGGTGGTCTATCTGTGGAACGATCCGGTGTTACGCAACAAGTACCCCGGGCTCATTTATGTGCCAGAACCTTGGTCCTACTATACCTTACATATCAAGCAGAACCTCTGAGTTACATCAGTCCAGGTCTGTAGCGCTCCGTGTCTAAAGAAAACATAGTTCTCAATCAGACGTCACTTACATTTGTATGAACTGACTGATGCATACCTCTTCTTTCTTTAGCGGACTTCCTGTGACGGAGGTAGTGGCTGCACTTGGACAACGATGACAATCGATGAAGGTTGTTGAAGTGCACCGACCTCACTGTGAAACACAAAGCGCTGCTGGCTTCAGCCATACCTTCAGAAGGGGGTTCGTCTCCTCCGTTTCGTTCTATATCGTTGTTAAAAAGACTTTTGACGGGTTGGAATTGTGATGTTCGGTCTGCATTTGTAACCGTTTGGATCTCGTGACATCTGGGACTAAGAAAGATAAACTTAAGTAGATGCACCATGCGAGTAATGTCAACAGATACTTACACAGGGCCCGGACAAGATTCTGTAAAAATGCAGCAGCCAATTTAGGGCCCTTTAACATGTCAGTTTTAATTGAGCTATAGTCTTATTTGCATATTACTAAAAAAATTGAATTCATAAAACTACCACAAAATAATCTCCACTGGCATGGGGCTGTCGGGCCCCTGAGGGTTTGAGAACCAGAAGCAGGTTTGCTCTCTCTTTGGTAAACCAGCGTCAAATGTTCTTAGCATTTAACAAAACAAATGGGCGACTGTGGCTAAGTGGAGAGCAGGGCCGTCCTTCAATCAGAGGATCGGTGGTTCGATCGCATGTCGATGTGTCCTTGAGCAAGACACTTTACCACAAAATTGCTCCCGTAGCTGTGCCTACGGTTTATGTGATAGAATCTGAATTGTAAGTGGCTTTGGATAAAAGCGTCTGCTACAGTCCACCCACCGTCTCTTAACCAGCCAATTGAATACGCAGTCGACCTTTTTATGAACAAACTCAAGGTGAATATATCTACAGTACATTCACTGAAAGAAAACAACCTCTTACCTAAAACTAATCAAATAATTCCATCTGTTGAATGCTGTTGCTCTGAAGCTCTTTAAAAGTGTCATCAAGGTTGTTCATCAGATGTACTGCAGTTACAGGTGCTCCTCTCCGGCTTCCATGAAAGATAAGAAGAATGCATTTGAATTGTCTCAGGTATTTAAAGTTTCACACTTACTGATTAAGTGAAATTTATATTGTAATCATTTAGACATGAGCTGTGAACTATTACATTTCCCTGTGATCATAGTGCTATATTATAATCCAGCCCTACTGCCAACATACAACATAGTGTTCTATCGCATTGTTCATGACGTTGTGTGTAAGTTATGTACAACGGTAGTGTTGATAATGAAAAGTCTCTTGTACAGTTGCTTTTATTATTCAAAAGGTCAAGGAAAGGAGCAATTGCGTTTGAGATACAAATGAAAACATGTTTTATGAACTGAACTTAAATTGTTGCTTTGCTGATTATTTTTTACATGTTGAGTTATTGTTCTTAATGTAAAATTGTTATTGGGTATTTTGTACTGTATTGTTCCTTTGCTTAAGATCACTTTGTTGCTGGTAGTTACTGGTCCCTCATTGGTTAGATTTACATTTATCTTAATTAGAATGTTGAAATTGACCTAATCGCTGATTACTCCTCACATTTCTCTTAACTTACCTTATTAGACCCTGGATGTGCTTTAAATCATTTATCTTGGGGAAAAAAAAAAAAAAAAAAAAAGCAAATTTCACATGATTTCCACGATTCAACGTCACAAGTAGCACACGCCCTCTGAACACGGTTAAAGTTATGATGCTCGTCAGCAGAGGAAAGCCAGGTTCACTCTCGTTTTGGGACGAGCTTTGTCCATTTGATGTTTTGCCCTCACTTTGCTAAATTTGCACTTTTTCAGCATGGTGACTGCCATTTTTGTAACTCCTACTTATGCTGTTTGTTTGCATGCTTACAACCGGAACTGTGTCTCCATTTAGAGGTCGACACACAGACACGTCCCAATCATCAAAAAAAAGAAAGAAGGAAGGAAAATCAATCTTGTGTTTCTTAAGGGGAATCCTACTCATTCTGCCGTTAAAATGATTTTAAATCTTGCTATTTATGTGGTTACAAACCCTCATTTCATTATCAGACACTGTAGTACCATGTGGTGACTGATAGTTATTGGTCCCTTGCTATCGCTGGGGGGGGGGGGGAAAAGGACAATGCAGCCCCATGGATCTGGTATCTGCGTTTCCACAGCAACGCATATTAAATTACGTGGAGGCTTTCAGGTGGTGGACTTTAAACAGAGGTGGAGGGACGGCTGACGCACACCACAGGCAACTCTTCTTCCTGGAAAGAAACACAGCAACTGCAAAAATGGTAAGAGCAAGAAATTCTTTCCATGAAAGCTTTTTTTCGTGTCTTTTCTTAACAGTGTTTGTTGTGTACTTGCCTGCTAAGTGACACCATTATGTCGTCACTTTGCAGGCTAAATTCTTCACACCAGTTCAAATCAACGGTAAGAGTATTACTCCACAGCACCACATGTTTCATTATTATTAACGTATGTTTGAAATGCTCTATTTGCCATTCAGTCTTTTCCAAAAGTACTGCACGTGTATCTTTTAATAACCCGTACATGTTGAAAAACCTTGTCCAGTCTTATTAGTTCCTGTGACGTAAACCTAACCTTTTTCTAAGTTAACCTACTGTTGAATGATGAATAAACTATACTTACTAAATACTAAAATGAATTAAGCTACGCTGATGTACTCCAATACTTGTTTTAATTTCCTTTGCAGAGTTCAAAGAGTGCTTCTCCTTGTACGACAAGAAACAAAAGGGCAAGATCGTTGTCAAAGACCTGATCACAGTCATGCGCTGCCTGGGTACAAGCCCCACGTTCGGGGAAATCGAAAGACATCTACAAGTTCACAAAATCGGTAAAGTACAACGTACAGTAAATCTGCTAGTTGTGGGCCAGTCAATGGTTTCAAAAACCTGTTCAGGGTGACAGTGGTTTAAGAAGTCAGAAACGGACACTAAAACTCTGAGGTGGAGTTTGTTTTGAACTGTGTTTGTCTATAACTTTGGTCGGGGCTTTATATCCATGATATATTCCTATTATTGGGTTATTGTAAAATGGTGAGTTCAAGGCTTTTATAAGTCATATACATTGATGACAAATAAGGAAATAAGTTGGTGACAAAAATCATCTCTTTCACCAACTCTGTACAACTTACAGAAATATGTACTCTATGGAAAAACTCCGCTCCAGACCTTAAATAGAATGAAGGGAGAAGTCGAATTGACATTCCCAATATGTTGTTCCCCAAGTGGCCCTTAGTCGAATATATTGCACATGTTAAATAATATACTTTTCAACTCGTTCATCTTTCGTTATTATTTGACACAGACCTTATATTTGTTTGACATTCACATTTAGAAAAGAGCGGTGAGCTGGACTTCTCTACGTTTCTGACGATGATGCACAGACAGATGCAACAGGAGGACCCCAAGACAGAAATCCTGGAGGCCTTGAGGATGACGGACAAACAGAAGAAAGGGTACATCCAGGCGTCTGAGCTCCGGGCCAAGCTCACCATGTTGGGGGAGAAACTCACAAACAAAGAAGGTAAAGTAAATGCTGATTCTAATAAAGGAGCAACCTCAAGTCTGGTAAGTATTGATAGGGAGTTACAGTACAACTTATTACACTTTGTTATATAATCACAGTAAACAGTAAATATGTGAATGTATGGTTCTGAGTTACAGTGCAGTCTGTAACTGTTTGGACAGTTTATAGATGGCTGCAACAATGATTCCTAAAACCCAGAAATGAGTTTCTGTTACCCTCCTCTCAAAGTCAGTGGGTTTCTTGAACAGGTTTTTGGTTAGATGCCTGAAATAAAGACTGATGTTAATACGAGCTAAGAGGTTTTAAAACTCTGTTTAAAAGCATGAAATACGTTAGTAGATACCCCACTGGTACATTTTGAAGCTTTTATGCGTTTTAAAAAAGGCGGTTGGTAACAAATGTCCAACTAAGACTGCAAGACGCCATCTCTTGAACACTCGTCCGCCTTTAGCTTAGTGGTGGCGATTTGAAGTCATATTTTTCGAAAATGGGAACTAGTGCGATGCTAACTTCCGGTTTGACCTGCAAAAACACATCATCCCTCTATTTGGCTCTGTAATATAACACACTTTGGGTTTTACATAAAATGATGAGGTTCAATTTTGAAAGTATCAAAATCAACAACCAATAAACCATGTTGAATTTGTAGCACTTTCTATACATTGCCTTTGTCCTACATTGTTGACCCAATATGAATGTGAACACCTCAAAATACCCGTCAGCTTGAATGTTCCTCATTGTTTCATTCAAAATTCAGTGGAGAGCCAAAATAATAAATGACAGATGTCTGTCCTAATACTTTATGACTGCAGTAAATGTCAAACTTCAACGGGGATTTGTATGAGAGAGAAACTCTAACTGATGTTTGTACTCATGAGATGACAAAAATCAATACATATTTCAGTCAAAAGAATGGCTTCTAGCCCGGCCTGCGCTCCCCCTCCTCACCTGACAATGTGTCACATTTCCTCCATCTCCCTGTGGCCCTGTAAGCCCCACACAGACAACAATCCACTGTAACTCTGACTCTGCTTTAGACTTAGCTCATCATCTCCCTGGGAATTTCAAAACCGCTTCTATAATCCACAACAATTTGCCACATATAGCTTTCCTATGACCGGTCTCTGTAGTACAGCTCTCTTCTTATATTCAACCTTACTGTCTTTATATCTTCAGGCGTATCCTCCTGAATATATACTCAAAATGCTGCAGGCTGTGGTGGAAAGCTGGAGCCAAACAAAATATCTAAAAAATAATAGTAATGATAATAAATACAAATTAAATCTGTAATTCTATAAATGAAGATGAATCAGTGTTTTGTTTGGATAATTCAAGAACAGCAGTTTCTTTTCGTGTTTTTTTTTAAATTTAATTTAACTGGACCCAGTGGATTCTGTACTTCTGACACGCCAACACTGAAGTTTTGTCTCATATGTAAAGTGACGACCGGAGAGCCAAACCATCAAAAGTTGTCCAGTTTTGATGCCATTTGTTTTTTCACAGGCTGGGCTCCATCATTTAAACTGTTACTGGCGTCAAAGCAACATAAAGATTTAATTCAAATGGTCAGTGTACCGCCTCTGGATGGGTGCTGTGCACAGAAAGCGGTTCATATTCAAATGAAGCTCAGCGTCTTCTTAGTGGGGAGACATCCATCAAGTCGCTGGATTCCCCAACTACTGAAGCAGACCGTGATGCCACTGTACTGTTCAGTTCCTAACCGTTGGGATTGTAAGAAACTGTGGTCAGTGTTTCTGCTCTAGTACAGCAGTTTGAGTACTCAGGGGTTTCTTGATTTTGTTGACATTAAAAAGAATTTAGATTTCAAAGGTCGAGTACAGAAGTGATGAACTGAAATCAAAATGAATTGCAATTAGATAGGAAATCCATTTATAGGATGTATTATTATATATATTACCTTTCAGTTGGATAAATGTTAATATAAAACCAATCATTGGGGGAAGTATTCATGCCTTTTACTTGAGTAGCAATTGAACAGTGTAAAAGTAATGCATTATAAGTAAAAGTCCTGCATTCAAGGTTTAAACTCAAAAGTAACAAAATGCACAGAATTACCAACAGCAAAATGTACTTAAGGTATCAAAAGTAAAAGTATACAAATACAGCGACAAAATGAACTGGAGGTTGTGTGCTACGCTTCCGCGATGCCGCTGTCGGTCACGAGGAGGATATTGGCTGTAACTGCCGTATGAGAGCAGAGCAAAGCAGCAACCATGAGCTAGCCAGTGGGGAACGCTCACGTGCACTAAAATTGATACATTCTGCAGGAGAAACCAAGATAACAACACACATTGAGGGAAAGCGACTTCATTCTCTGTTCGGGGAGACATTACTGCACAGTTTGCTGCTATAATAATGTTCAGAATGCAGAATACAGCTCCTTTTATAAATTATTAAATTCACCGCATTAAAAACATTTGTGAGCCTTTCAATTGAGTAGAAATTGCCAATAATAAAAGGTGAAATATTTTAGTTTTTCCGCTGATAACTCCAGGAACAACAAACGCACTCAGTTTGGCTCAGCACACGGGTTATGGTTGTTGGCAGCTCTACTCTTTGAAGGAGTTGTCAGACATTCAAAAGCTCCCACAGGCAAAAGACCAGCAGAGACTTTCCAAGTTGTGATTAATCGTGGCAGACAAATGGGTTTTCAAGCAGCGCTCTCAATTCCACTCACAAAGCTGTTTTCTCTCTCTTCTTCTTCTAGTGGATGAACTCTTCAAAGAGGCAAACGTCAAGTCAAACGGGACTGTCAACTATGAAGAGTTCACACAGATGGTGACACTGCCACCCGTCGATTACTAACTTTCCAAACTGACTGTACACACATTTAACTTGGTTTGCAGAACTCACATGATGTTGAAACTGGCAATTCTGTACTAACAGACTATTGAGACTGAAAACATCCTTCCCCTCGTCTTTCTTTCTCATGAATATTCTATGATCGTTTAATTAAACCTCTTTCCAAAGGTTTCCTCTATGACTGAACACATTGTGAAGCAATGCTGTTATAATGTAATGTAACTAACAATATGTGATATGATTTGGCTTGTCATCCTTTGATGGGATCAAATTAAATTCTCTTTCCACTTTTTGTCAAACCCGACCCTCCACCCAATCAAATGTAATGTCCAGTTTGATATTTTGTGCATGTACTTCCGCTTGCTTATGAGCGATATATTAAACCCTTCATTTCATATTGTAGATTTTCTTCACAGTCAGCAGTCAACTTTCTACACATCAGTATTAAACTGCATTATCCTCTTAAACTTGTGATAAAAGCCGTTTAAATCTTTTTTTCTGTTGAAATGTATATTTTTAACAAATGCATTTTAAACCATCGTCCATCTTTTTCATTCTCTCGTTCAGCCGTTTTGTCATCTCAAGTCACACATGCCTAACTGTCAGGCCTTTGACATTTGTGAACATTGCATTTACATAAGTGACTTGTAATTTGCATTTTCTTTCCCCCACAAGTTTTATTTTGCAGTATATAAATATCCATATGTAATAATAACAGCACTGATTAATACCACTTTTTTCCAAAACATGTAATTGTTGTACGGGAAGGTCACAGTGGGCTTTTGTTAAGAGATTGTAATTAGCCAACTGATTGCTTTGAAAATGTGTTTATTTGCTTTGATTTTTTTTTATTTGGATTTTTGACTAGTCTTGATTTTGTGGTTGGAAACCAACAATCATTAAATGTACAATCTTTAAAAACAGAAAAAGAGCAGAAACAGTCAGTCCAACAAACTAAATTGAGAGGAAGAAAAATTGAAAGTCTTGCATAATCCCTGCAATATGTTTGTAAATGGAACTCCTATGAGTTTCTCAGTTTGACTTCCGAATATAAAACATACCCGGATCTACCGCAGTGCATCAGTGGAGCCCAAAGAGCCAGACGGGTTTATACACATTGGAAACTGTTTGGAAAACTTTAAAAATAAATACTTGGTAAGTGATCGCATGAACCATCTGTCAATCAAACTCTTGCTGAAGCCAATCGGGAGAAGAGCTAAAACATCTTTTCTGTTGAGAAAAAAAGCCTTCAGTGCCCTTCTTTGCTCGCTTGTTCTGATAAAGCTGATGCTATTGAAGCATCTACGCTAACCTCTTTAGGAGCCGCCATTGTTGTTCAGTGCGAACAGTCGCCTCTGTGTCCCTCGAGGAACATCTAGCCCATCTCTTAGCTGCCAGTAGCTCCTCACTGGATGCCGATTGGTCCCTGCACCGGCTCACAGGGCACAAATTACTTGAAGCCCATCAAGCTGGATTACATGGCACCTTGCATGATCATGTTGTAGAGTTAGCATGCATCATCATCATCACATAACTGTCCCTACAGGGGAAACATTATGATATTAAGTGCAGCCTAACAGTGGAAGGCTCAAGAGCACTTTGCACACCAAGTATGTATTATTCGTAAGCACAAAAACCTTGTCCGAAGTTTTCCCTTTCTTCTATTTGTTAATTGAAAATGCTAGTTCCAAACAGGGCTACTGAATGTATGACATTAACAAAATGTAGGTGTAGCTGCCTCAAGCACAATCACTACACCTGTCTAACAGTAACTAAGGAGGGAGGGGCCTATCGTATCAGTAATTGAATCCTGAGAATTTCAAATGGATGTGATTTTGAGACATCAAACTGAAGGAAGCATATTAACATTACTTACATTTCATGTTCCCAGCACCAACCTGTAAACTTTGACATTAAAAAAGTACTTTACAACACAAAAAAATAGCCCTTTACATGTATACATTATATACGTATAAGGCAGCTGCTTGAGCTGAACTGCATTGTTCAGACCGAGCTGCTTTTCAATTCCTGCTTGAAAGAATGCATAACTGCAGCCTACAGACGTATGCGTCAGTGCTAACAACCGATTGTGAACGCAGGAGCGAGCAGAAAGGATGACGGAGTGAAGTATTCGGGACAGTTCAGTTGCTAAACTAAAAACCAGTTGCAAAAGTATAAAATATCATATATAAAGCTAATTCCTTAATACACCACACTCAACCTAATGTGATACGACACTAAATTCGTGAGTTCCTCCAATTTTAATAATTTCACAATCACATGTATTCTGAAATGCTGAATTTCACATTTCAATTAAGTGGTTAATACAAAAAACGTAAAATGATCCAATGTTTAAGTAGATAAGGCACTGGGCCCGCCGATACCCGACCTGAAATGTTTGGAGCCCGTGTGGCCTCTAGCACCAAGTGTTTCCTGCAGCTCCACTTTTCACAGTTACATTTTACTTTGTGACTTAAAAAAAAAGTGTGTGTGGAAAAGCCAAAGTGTGACATTACATTTTGTATGAGCTTCTGCAGACATTAAACATTCCAACTGACCGTTTTCCTAAATCCCTCCTCCCAACAGCGATTGCCCAATAATAGCTTAGCCACTGTAACTAGGCACCGCAGGCCTGTCAAGCCTTTGGATCTCTCCACATGTTCAAGCGGTGTGAATAGAGTGCTGCAGGAATGAGTCCTAAAATAAGGAAATTAGTTGGCATTTTTGCACCGTCTCGGTTTTTGGAATGGGATTTTGGTTCGATGCCTAAATAAGGTCTGTGGTTTTCACATTTAGTTTGACATAAGATACATCAGTAAACACCCCAATTGTGAATTTTGAGGCGTTTATGTGCATGTCTTAAAAAAGGCTGTTGCTTACAAGTGGCTGAATGAGACTACAGAGGTTGTTGAATAAGAAGCAGGTGGTGACGTGAAGTCACACGACGGTGTAGTTTTTTTTATTTTTTTTTATTCTAACATTACGTTAACATGGCAATTGCATTTACGCTTCAAAAAACATAAAAGTGGTGTTAATTTGGGAAGATTATCTTGCTAAAAAAAACATGTTAATATCATAAACTCTTGTTTGCCCCAGAGCTTATTTTCTACAGTAATCGATTGGAAAAATCCCATGGGCCTTTTGTCGAGGGAACCGGGGCGATGCCATTTTCAGGGTTGGCCTACAAAATACGTCAGTGAGATACTGTAAAATGTGTGTAGGGTTGTTTCTTTTTAGTCTTTCCCAGACCAAAAACAAAAGTGTAAGGAACTTAAACAGTGCTTTTGTCTGCTCCAATGTAAGCTGCAAACCTTAGCATGGCTGGCTACTAACTATAGCCATCTACAGTAACTTTACTTCCATGTCTGATCAAAATCTCATCACTTCATCATTTTATCCCATTAGATATTTTTTGGCAAGAATCCTTGAGTTATGGCCAAAAACATGTTTTGTGAGGTGGTAGTATCCTTGACATTTGACTCCCAATATCTGGTCAGTTCCGTCTTGAGAGCAAGTGGACGTTTGTGCCGAATTTCAAGAAATGTCCCTAAGTTGTCAGAGACGGACAGCCTGAAAACCTGATGCCTCCGCCCAGAGCTGTCGCCGGCACGGAGCCATAAAAATGGTGAGATCTTAAATTTTATCGTACGCATAATTCTAGGGCTTACGTGCTCAACACTGCAATAAAATAAAAATGTTTCTTTATTACATGAAATATCAACTTGCGAGGATGCTAACTTTTTCTTGCCTGAGACATGCACGTATGTAACCATCAAGTGCATATTTAAAACCTTTTATGGGGTTTTCATTTCGAAACATTAAAAAGTCAGCCTGAGATATTACTAAATGGCTATATTTTAGCTACTGTTAGCTTAGCTAAGGCTGATCAAATTTGCCAGCAACAGTTGCCACTTCAGTTGGGAAAACTGACACGAACAGACAAGAAATGAGAGGCTGCTTTTATCTTCTTCGGTCTGAAAGCATGGTAAATCTGTGAGATCGAAAAGCTTGACAGGTGTCGAGGGGCTTAGCAAACGGCCAATTATTTATAAATGTCACATGTAGCATTTATGCATCATAACATTTGTGCCACATTATACAAAAAAACAAAAAACACATTGCAAATTGTATAAGCCTACCTGTCTGTTTTAATCTGTTCAGTTTCTGCTGCCGTCAATAAAATGAAAGCATTGTACCAACCATAAAGGTTAATGAGTTATCTACATGTGTAATAACGCATTAGTAAACTGGCTACATTGATCGAAAAGCCACATCTGTTACAAAGATGAATGAAATGAAATTCTGGTCAAACTATCATAAAAACTGCAAACAAATATTTACATTCTCATTATTTTGCGAAGAGAGAGGCAGTGCTGTGTCATTTTTCCAATCAATGTCAAACCTGTATAATAATACCACCAGCACACACATGCAGAGTTTTGGAGTGGCACTAATTCATAATTAGTCTGTAGTGGTGAGGAAATCAGTAAAGGGCTCAGATTGTCGACTTAAAAATGGCGGTTTATATTTCATCAGTGTTCCTGTTGATAAGCGGTTACTTTGTTGCAGCTCAGCGGCGAGACGTGCTGCTCGAGCGGGAACGCTGGCTGCAGGCTTTGCAACACTGTGCTCGTACGTTGGACAAGTGGCAACGGCCGAGCCAGCGGAGAGTCTGACAGAAACGAACCGTTAGCCGGTCGCGAAGGCAAACTGCTCCTGTGCGGGGGACAGAGAGAGGGAGAGAAAGAGAGAGAGGTTAGATACGTTGTGTTGCATCATTACAGAATGAATTACAGGCACAATGCGAGGGCTGTAAGCCTCTTCACGTCATAAGATATGTCCTTTAAGTTGAACAGTAGGTGTGAGTGATAGTCTGCTCATGCTCTTTTGTTGTTGGTTCAACACAGATCCTCTTTACAGACATGCTGGGAATTTCTTGCTGATCAGTTTGTAGATGTTGAAATATGAACAAACACGCCCGGAAGAATAAGCGTCACTTATTATATTCTGTTTTGTGCATTCTTTTAAAATGACTGACGGCACAAGGAGTAGACAACCTGAAACCTTCAAACAGGACACTGCTCAGAGGTGGGGGAAAAAAACCAAAAGATCAAATCAGCCAAAACCAAAAGATCGAATCAGCCAAATCGAATCAGCCAAAAATTTTGGCTGATCGAATCAGCCAAAATCCAGTCCAGATTATTGGACTGGATTGTTTAAAAGTTGCCGTTTCGTGCTGCAAAATATAGTTTGACCATGATTCAGAAACAATACCGAAAAAACAGTTGTGATGAGCAGCATTGTGAACAAAAGTGACGCACACGGCTGTTGCAGTAGTTTGTGGCTTGTGATGTTATTGAAGTCGTCTATTAGTCATTGTGATCACATGACTCCCATATTATAATTAGAAGCAAAAGGCTAACGCTAGGTCAACAGCAGATGTCTGCAACTACATCTGAATCATGCAATCACAATGTTAAAATTAAGAGGATTATCAGCCAGACATGACTGACCCACGTTTAATACAGTTTATTTGTTAATGTCATTATTGATCGTTTGCCACCAGTCACGGTGGGCCACTTACTCACGTTAAGCGTCGCAGCATCCCTGTGTAACATTTCCCTCGCATAAAATGTTCCCAATACGTTCTATGCAGTGAGACATACAGATTTTAAATGTGGCAGAGCAGTGGCATCGGATAGTTGGTCCAGGCATCGCAATCACGAAAGACAGATGAAGTGGTGCGTTTCTACTTTAACGCACAAAATGTCCCGTTTGTGCAACTATCCCTCGACTGCAGCTCATTATGAAATACCTCGGTTTGTTGACCCTGGAAGATACATTCTTGGTTTGTCTAACTCAGGCTGCTAAAGCATCATATCGGCTTAATTCAGCTGAAAGTCAAAATAAATGTTTGCACTCAACGAGGAATCTGGATTTTGACATGGGAATTGCATTACGAAGTGATGTTTTCAGCAGACTTGAAAAATGTGAAATCTTTTAAAGTGCAGATAGCACAAATATCTAACCCTGGGATCTATGTCCTTGCAGAGCATGCCTGGCATACATCAAGTTAGTCCTGTTCTATTCTGCAGTTTTCAGGCTCTCAGGAGTATGTGTGCTCAGAGGCGGATGATCAGAAGAAAAACAAGATACTCTCCTGCAGAAGCGGACCTTCCTATTTTGCGTGTGAAACAATTACAAAGAAAGCGCTTGCAGCGTCTAATCTAATATATTTTGAAAAGGTTGTTTCTGGGTTTTCCCACAAATGTACATCAAATGGACAATAAAACAGGACAACTCATCAAAACGTTTGGTTAAATGGCAACCTACTATGAATACAAAAAAAAAGAAAAAGAAAAAAAAGGAGGCATTTGTGTTCACAGGTTTTGTATCTGTCAACCAGAGCACATATTCTGACCATCTACCGTCTGGTCTTTCAAATCGCAGCAGAAGCATGAAATTGAAAACCCAGTCCAGACAAAGATTTGAGCGTGGGCGGATATTGAATCGTCTCACTTCATCATGACGCTCACCGTTTCAGGGCCCGATATTGTTTTTGTATTCATCTTCTTGTCTTCTCATTTAGGAGCAGCAAAGTGGGCAGGAATCAGAGGTCCTTCAGGGATTAAGTAAGCTTAAACATCTGTCCTTAAATTCCAATAAGCACTTCTCTGGAGTGACTGTCAAAGCAAAAAAAATAAATAAAACCCCTATCAACCCACACTTTCCTGATGGAATCTCGGCTGATGGCCTTAACAGACAACTTAAGTAGTCTTACAGGCCTATTACAGGTCCGCTATAAACCTCCTGCAACCGTCAACATTTTATTCTTTAACGCCTCAATTCCAATGACAGATACATATTTTAGAAGAAAAATATTTACTCTCTTAAAGTTGTCAGAGACCTGCAAACCCTCAGCTCAAAGTCCTTCAAATCAAGTTGAATCTTTACCTATCGGGGTACACAGTCTGCATATGAAGTGTGACATTATGATTATCAGATTACATCATTTAAATGCTTTTGTATCAGGAGCGCCCAAGCTGTGGGTGACTGCAGGCAGCAGATGGCGGTTTTAAAAGAGATACTAAAAAGCAAAGTGAAACAGTTACGTAAATGGTAGAAAGACAAATAAAGCAACACTTGATGAAGATTCAAGACAGAAAGCACAAAAAGACATTTCACTTTTCAAGGCGACTTTTGTCATCCGATCGTGTCAGGATGCATCAACTGTCAAGTATGTACAGTCCGAGATGGGATCTTGCTCGCATTGGGATCCGATCCGCCAGATGACATGCCGAGGTGTCCTGGCTCACTTTGAGTTTGGCTCTCAGTGAGGAGTGGAGAGCATGTGGGCACAATCCAGACAATTTATCAAATGTAGGACTCCCATCATCTTCCCCCCACATGGGAGTTCCTGTCCCGAGGAGAGCAAAGGGAAGAGAAGAGGAAAACCAGGGCCGGATTACAGCGGAGACCCGCCGTCTGAGTCAAATCACTGAAGCTGAAAATCCAACAATTCCTGGTTTTGTTACTTCAAGACAAACGCTTTCAAACAACAAAATAACGTGGGACTTTTATTGTGAGAGCTTTGTTAGCAGCTATTCTTCAATAAAGCAGGTCTTCCAATACTGTGGGGAGGAACAGCAAGCAGCTAAAATAACGAGGGACTTTTATTGTGAAGAATTTATAGGAAAAACAAGACTGACAGTATGAGTGACCTACAGATTTTTCTGTGTCTAGAAAATCTTTAACACAACAGTCTTGTCATAGTTTCGTGGAGAAGCTGCAATGATGCAATTACAGAGGCTTGAGCCTCTGTGAATAACATTTCACAGATATCTTGGTAAATATCAGCCGAATGTATATGTGACGAACATTATCCTTTCAAGAACCAAAGTGACAAATAAATTGTAACGATGAGAAATCATATTCTGGGGATGATGAATGTTCGTACCAAATTTAATGACAATGCATCCAATAATAAATTCAATATTATTTTATGTTAGATTAAAGTGTTGGACTGGGGGACTGAGTTCAACCATAGAAAGGTTAGGCTTGCTCCCATCCTTCAACATTTTATTTTATTTATGTGATCAGGACAGTCCCATTGAATTCTACAATATATTTTCTGACCGCAGCATAAAAGATTCACATGAAAGCACAAATAACAGACTTAAAAACAAAACAGCTAAAATAACATGTTCAGTTACAGGACATTCAGTGTTCAATAGTCTATCTTACATAATAAGATAAAATAATCTAGTTTAAAATATCTCTGTAGCTCACACCAAGATGAGGGTTCAAAAACTTTAAAGCACTTTCAAAGACTGTGCGGGTCTAGGAATAACTGATTTTTTTTGACCGAAGGTTGCAGCTTCTAGGAGTCGGAAGAGAACTTAAATATGGAAGCAGTTTGTGTAATATATCGTCTTATAAAGAAAAATGTACCAGTGTTCTATTTCATGGTTGTATAAGAAAGAAAAAACAATTCTCTCAAACAAACTGCTGCGTGCGGAAACCTAGAGCAGAGACAAATGGTAACGCAGCCTGGTGTACTGAATCTACACACGGCACTACTGAACCCACTGCTATTGTGTTAAAGCAATTCTCTGTCAAGAAAATTGCAGAATTTCCAATGCCACTCAGATCAGAGAAGCTCCATGACATCAATGAAGGGACAAAGGCCACAGCTGCCACTCAATAACATAGCATTTCCTGTCTTCTACACTCCCCCATTCGCCATCTTTGACCCACTCAACAACATGCCTTAAAGAGCAGTAACACGAAGAGGCAGTGGGACTTCCGCAGTATTATTATGCTTTTTCACAACTACAGAATACAGATAATTTGCTTGGGTGAAACCTATTCATGGGTAACCCCTTTTCGGCCACTCACCCTATACATCTGAATGTGGCTTTGTTTTCATCAAAAAGCACGTTATGGTCCAAGTTTGACAGAGGGTTGATTAAAGCACCATAAAAGAACGAGCCAGGGAACAGATGAGCTGAATAAGGAAGAGGGTGGGCTTTGGAATGACCTACAGTAGCAAATGGAAATAACAAACCCGACCAAAATTAAAAACCATCGAGCATGACCCTTATGTTGTCACTATCCATTATAGGTACAAAACCCAAGATAGGTAGAGGTGTTTATTGAACAGTCACTGCACAACAACAGTATTGCTGCTGAACTCTTACTCATACAAATATTCTGCCACTTACTGATGAATATTAATGCGTTTTTTTATTACAGGCAATAATAAAGAAATTGTGAACACAATATTTCCTTCTTGTCACCTTTGAAGTGAATATCGTGAACTTCTGAGCAAGCTGTTGCTTATTTACACATCCAAGAGTTATGAAAGAACATTATCATCCATTTGGAGTGTCCACCTGGTCAAAGAAAGTCCAATATTCACTCTACTTTTAGCTCCGTTTTTGGTCTCCACCAACTCCTGAGGGAAATATCTGGCTCTTTATCTGCCAAATGTCCCACTCTGTTCACCAACTAGTCACCAACTGTATTCGTCTGCCTTTTTTAGAGCTCTTTCAATGGAAACAAGGGCCTGCTGTGGCCGGAAACAATGCTATGAGAGCATATGCCAGTATGGAACATCGCTGCTCAGGGTCAGGGTGGATCTCTAATGTCCAGAGATTTGTGAAATGGATTCTGAAACAGAGCCTCAATGATTGAGGATTCACCTCTTTATCTTTTCAACTGCCCACTCTCCCTTCAGCTTTCCCCCGGCACCTCAGGTCCTCACACTGAATGCAGATCATAGACTGTATGTTAGACATTATTCAGAGGTGCCATAAATCATTCATCACTTATCCCATAATGTTGGCACACAGTACGCAACAACAAAAAGCCTCTTTTTAAACAGAGAAGAACAATCGTAAATGTATGCGTAACGCAGCACATTGAGGTCAGAAGACACCCTCAGTGTTGTGCACAAGGCAGAGCTGTAGTCAAGAGCAAACAGCTAGTCCAAGAAACTACACAACTTAAAAGGACTGTTGGGAGGTTCTCATGCCTGTCCGAGCAGTTTCTTTATGAAACAAAAGTTACATGTTATAACAAGAAAAGCTTCTTGTAAAAACTGAATCATTTGGTATCTTGTAATAACATGGAAAGTGTTCTCGTTATAGCGAGAAACTGAGCAGAATTTTCTTTTTTGCCATAGTGGGAGCAATACGCTGTTTAAAATAAAACTGTCTTAGATGTAATTGATTATAGTCTTAATAAAATTGGCTTTTTGTCTCAATTTGCTGAAATTAGGGATTAAGCTATGAGAAAAGAAACCCCAAATGAAATATCTTTCAAGGCCAGACAAAGCGCACACCAACTAAAAAAACAAAAATACGTTTTTGACATTTTGTGTGAAGAGGAGGATTAATGATTGAAGATTAATGGATTCAAAATATGGTTTCCTGAGAAACGCACACCACAGTTAATGGCTGGATGCTCTTGCTAGTGTCAAAACCAACAAAATAACTCCAAGAGTGATGTGCATTTCCTAAAGAATCACATATGGATTAGCAAACTCTCCTGGTTTATTGAAACTAAACTTCAGACAGCAGTTGGTGAGCTCAAACGAACTGTCCGACCCCGCCAAAAGAAATATGTTCTTTCAAAATATTTCTTGAGTGGTCAGAGCTCAGGACCAAGGAGATCGATTCCCCCGCTGGAGTTGAGGTTGTAGAGGTTGATGGCAAAGCGAGTACTGAAAAGAGCATCATCAACACATCTGAATAGAGAAAATGTCCCTATTGGCTCAATATGTCTTTTTTCTGATAAGTCTATCTCATGCTCCTGTGAAGGTTGGACTCACATCGACATCTCATTATCCTCCTACTGCTAAGAAAGCCAACCTCTGCTTCCTAGTGGGATAATGACGACCTGCAGCCCCAAATAGAAAAAAATAATAATCTGTCCCGTGCTCACACAGCTGCACACGAGGTCTCACACATGTTGCAGTGGTTTTACACTAAACTGATGAAAGTCACAGCGTTTGTGTGCAGCTTTCAGTACACGTTTGATGGAAGGCTACTACCCAACAGGCTCGGACGAAAGAATGGAGAAACAACAAAGAGCAGTTTTTTTTCTCGGCCATCGATTCAGCTCGTATATTGTGTAAGTCAATATATATCTCACAGCGGGGAGATATGGCTGGCCTTTTATTAATGTCAGATGAGATTTTGCCCAAGTCCGATCGACTAAGCCTTCCTTCGAGATCACCGTCCACATAGAAATGCCCTTTAAGTTAAGTAGTACCGATATATATACAGTTTGATTACAGACATTTATTGGTTAAATATTAAGAAAAATACAAGTGTAGCTGAGATAACACTTTAATATATTCTTTATGTAACTCTTAAGAGATGTTTCTGATCTGCGTCCAATTACAGTCGTGATCGCTCTTGGTTCAATGCAGCATCAGAATGGCAATAAATTAATTTAGACCTGATGTGGAGGGATACTTAAAGAGATTCGCCAGAAATGCTGCTGTATATCAGAAATACATTTGAATGCATGCCAAAGACATTTATCCATTTGGCAGGCGGCTTTGTCTGAAGTGAGGTACAATCCAAGCCACAGTATTTCAAGGAGAAGTCTTCCAGATTTGGCTGCAATTTAAGATTATTTTCACTATCGATTAATCGATTGGTCTATAAAATGTCCATCCCAGTTTCCGAAAGTCCAAGGGGATGTCTTTAAATGTCTTGTTTTGTCAGTCCAAAACCCAAAGATATTCAGTTTGATATGATATTAAACAGATGAAAGCAGGAAATATCCATATTTGAAAACAGCATTAAACATTACTTTATAATTAATAGATTATAAAAATAGTAGAGGATTCATTTTTTTGTCAATGGACTAATCAATTAGTTGACTAATCGTTGCAGCTGTACTTCGAGGATCGACAGAGGGAGACGGATCAAATTAGGTGAGCAGGTACTCAATGCAAGGTCAGATCTAACGGTTGTATTATTCTTCACTCATGGCAGTAATGCATCCTGAGGAAGGGTGGGTCACCTTGCAGCAAACTAAAGAGTCACACAATCACAAAACTACAGGGCACCGTTAACACTACTGGTGGAACAGGTAGCACCTTTGTTAATGTGAGAGGTGATACATTTTAATGGAACAGATGCCATTTTATATTTTGTAAGGAAAACATTGCTGACAAAGATGTCTTTAATCTTGAGGCGTTGAATGTTTTAGTTTGAGGCAGTGGGTGATCATGTTCTTACACTACTGAAACCCTGATGAGGGTATTAGTCAACCTTACATTCTCTGAATTCTGAATTCATTCATGTAGATTTATTATTATGATTCTGATGCACGGTATTTTTTAACCAAATTCAGTCTTTTAGTCTGCTGATTTCTTTGTCTTCTTAACGAATGGGATAAGGCTTTCCTTAACAACAGGGAGGAAAAGAGAATATTTGCAACCGTCAGACTGGAGCAAAACACAGGAGCAAAACACAGACACAAATTATTAACCCAAAGTGATCAATATATCATTTTTTTGGTACTTAATTCACAATGGGGATGAAGTTATACAAGTGTTCCTAAATGTATGCTTATCAACTTAACAAAAGCTATCAGACAACATGCGCCTTGAAGCAATGTCTACTGGAGCAAAAAATACACCTCTTTGTGCAAAAATGTTAGCCTTTTCTAATCATCATCTTCAAAGACGCATGCACAGATACAACTTCGATCTACTGTAGGTAAAAGGTTTTGGGGTACAGTCTGACAGAGAAGCAAAACATGGGAATGTCAAGCCATGAATGATGCGTTATGCATATAATTGTCCTGGTCTGAATAGTTGCTCTGATTGCAAATATCCAAGTTGGGACTTTTCTATTTTTTTACACTCCCTGGTTGACAAAGAAGACTTTTGAGGCGACTCTAGTCAGCCTTTCCACTGGTCTTGGCATGTGGCAACATTAGAGGAAGAGCTGTTGGATTCCAGAGACATCAATGCTGCCGTTGATGAACGGCAAAGCGGAATGCTGCATTTGGTTTAAAAAAAAAAAAAAAAAAAAAAGCTGGTGCCATCAGACGTTTTAATATTGAATCCCACCGAGATAAATATCTCGTAGACAGAGAACATTTTCTTCTCCTTTGTGACTATAATGGTTTGATGAACAAATCAGTCAGTAATCGAGGCTGTAATGTGGATTCGCCTTGCTGTATTTTGTACAGTCGGTGTGTTCCTTAAGTTCATTTTGTCCCAACTCTCAAGAATCACAACCATTAAATGGCATACAGGATTTAATGGATGCAAGCCAAAGCAATAAACAAGGATATAGGCCTAAATGCTTTGCACACACAACTATTAGGCTCTTATCGTCAACAATGAGGCCGCTCACTCGACTACACAACCACGCAACAACTATGCCCTGCAACAGAATCCACACCACACACTCACCTCTCTCTCTCTCCATCACCAAACACACTCCCTGTAACTGTCATTTTTAACGGAGTGTAACCATGATGTCGAAGAAGAAAAAAAAAAAAAATCCACAGCTTTTCAGTTTGTACAGGGTAACGTTTTCTAAAAGTTTTCTGAGCTACACAGAATTTGCATGGTGGACCGTTTGCAACAGCACCACCCATGGGAGAAGGCCTTACCAGAAACAACCGGGTAATATAGAAAGAAGCACAACAATATTTTTTCTGTCGTCATATTTGTGGATAAATGTTTTGCAATTTGAATAATCAATACTGCTGGAAAAAGTGAGATTTAACAGACGTTTTTAGTGACAATTGTAAGTGACTTTTTAAAGATTTTTCCAAAGATCCCACAAAATGTTGTTGTTGAGGCTTTCAAGTGTCAATAAAGGGGTCTCAAACCCCTCAGCACACCTTGTATTTCACACACTGATCAATCCCCTTTTCCCATATCGCAGTCAAAGTCATAACTCAGATCAGTGGGTCCGACGAGAGGAAATTCAAACACTGATCTCAGACCATTTCCTGTGGTTCTGTAATAATAATCAAGTAAATGAAAGATCTTCACTGTACAAGGTATACGGCACAATCAAATCCATTGAGTTCAAAGCACAGACGTTTTGGGCAGCACGTAAAAACAAACCACAGACAGGAGATCCCCATTTAAACACAACGGTCTCCGACAGGGGGAGTCAAATCATACCACAACAATCCACAAATAAGACTGACAGTCTACAGCCATGCTAGCAGGTCTGTGAGGCTCCACTTTTGCTCTAAATAACGTCAGCATGCTAACATGCTCACAATGCGATGCCAGCATGCTAATGTTTAGCAGGTATCATTTTTACCGTGTTCAGCATGTTGCTTTTCTCACCAGAGGGGGCGCTCTCGCACTCCTGTAGGTTACACTTCTGGGCTCTCTCAGGGTGCAGCTCATGGTCACATTGAGTCTGATCCACCTCTTCGTCCGTCTCAGCCTTCGTGTTCACACATTTGATGAGTCGACGCTGAACTCCGCCACCGCAAGAAGCCGAACACTGCAGAGAAAGTTTAGCAAAATGTTCAAATGTCTTCCATGCCACACATTTCAATGGGTGGTACTTCTTGCTGGAAAAATGTCTTATTTGTCAGGATTTCCAATACTGTCACCGTAGTTTTAGATTGTCAAAATATTTATTTTGAAATCTTGAAACTTAATCGGCCAAGAATTCCTTTTATATGCGCTGCTCATTGTTTACAGTCCGACTAGCAACTTGAGATGCAAGACATAAATATGATGCTGTGGGCATGTTTTTTGATCGACTGTGTGCAGAGTAAAGACTTTTAGACTCTAGAGGGGGTGCTTTGTCACTGCCAATATAGTTCAATGATTAAAAATATCAAAAGACTCGTCTTTGTTGACTGGAGTCATGTGTAACAGACAGAGGGAGGAACGGAAATTGTGGGTCGTGCATGAAACATCTGCATGCAGCTGTTTGACTGTGTATAAACCACACGGATCATAAGTGATAATGTGGATTTTGGGAGAAAGAATTGCAACTCCCAATTAAGTTATATACTGTCATCTTTGAATTGTTAAAATACAGCTGCCACTAACTCAATGTGACAAATGGTAAGAATACTACAGGATGAGTAAGATTTCAATACGAACTTGATTTATCTTTTCTGTCTGCACTCTTCTTGTATGGAGATAATGCAGTTGGTTGTTTGGAGAAGCTGGCTGTTGTACGAGCAGGTGTACCTGATGGAGTAGCTAGTGTGTGTGTGTGCGCGTGTACCTGTCCCCATGATCCAGTAAGCCACTGAGCACATGGCTGGCCATTACATGATTGGATGTTGCTGGGCTGAAGGTCCTCATCGCATCGTTCCTCCTCTGGACAGGTTACCATACGCTGCTGCTCACCTCCCCCACACACCTCAGAGCACTGAAACACACACACACACACACACACACACACACACACACACACACACACA